CACTTAATCAATTAAACAAACCAATTCACTATATAACAATTAAGAAAACAAAACACATAAGTCACATAATTAAAATAAAAAAAATGCAATAAAAATCAAAATTAAATCCCCATTTTATCCTTTTGAAAACTAGGGGTATTACAAATTAGCCTTATCAAGTCATTCACAATAAAGATTGGAGGCATCTTAGTTAATCATTTTAAATGGAGGGTAGCTCCATCACGTGTTATTTTGTTTTTAATAAGCCTTGAGGCAATGATGGTCTTTAATAAAATTCATTTTAGTTTATACATGCAGTATCCCCGTATTATAAGGAATAGTAAATGAGTGTACTGTATTACAAGGACCCGGGCTGAGTGAATCCCGTAATCCGTATCCTCGTACTATAAGGGATAGTAAATGAGTGTCCTGTATTACAAGGACCCCGGCTGAGTGAATCCCGTAATTCGTATCCCCGTACTATAAGGGAATAGTAAATGAGTGTCCTGTATTACAAGGACCCGGGCTGAATGAATCCCGTCATCCATATTCCCGGATTATAGGGGATAAGTATCATGTATTATCAGGACCCGGGCTGAATGAATCCCGTAATCCATATCCCCGTAATATAAGGAATAATGAATGAATGTCCTGTACTACAAGGACCCGGATTGGATGAATCCCGTAATTAATATCCCCTTACAATAAGGGATAGTAAATAAAAATCCTTTATTAAAGAGGTTAGCTGAGTAAAATTCGTAAAATTCAATTCCTTTACTAAAGGGACGAGTTGAGTAAAACTCGTAAAGTTCAATTCCCTTATTAAATGAGTGAAACTCATACAATTTATTCCCTTATCAAAGGAAGATAACTGTTCCCTCGGGTGCAAAAAAAAAATAAACTTTTTATGAATAGTACCCGCGGGATACTGTTACCTTGGGTGCCAAAAAAAAAAAAATTCCTGAGTTACTATTCACGTGAATAGTGCCTGCGGGAATAGTACCCACGGGGGGTATTGTTCACAGGGGTTAAAAAAAAAAAAATCTTGAGTTACTATTCACGTGAATAGTACCCGCGGGTACTGTTCACAGGGGTTGGAAAAAAAAAAAAAAATTATTATTATTTATTACATTCCCAAAGTTAGACATGCAAGCTTGGGAATGGGGGGCAACTGATAGGGAAAAATATAAATCTACCTTACCCTCGATAAGATTGATTAGATTTCATTATCAAGGATAATGAAATCTGACGTGGTTCAACAGGTAAGAATAATCCTATTATAACTGGAGGAGGTCAAAAGGATTAAATCATATCCCCGACAGATCTGGCAACAAATCTCCTATGATTTCGCACAAGCGGAAAATAAGATCAACCATCGACATCGGCGGAACGATTTGGATTCCAATCGACAGCCATAAATAGGGCACCAAACCATTAAAGAAGGTACGACGTAAAAAACTATTATTGATCACTGCCTTCTTTTTAGACCTCTGTGACTAATTTGATCGTCGGAGAGCTCTTGGAAGGCACCACACCAGTGTCGTCAGGGTTCATCGATCTTCTCCTCTCTTCCTTGCAGGAAAACGACATCGTATTGGACTGCGCAAATTTCATCCTTAATAGTTAATATCATCTCTTTTATTTTCTCTCGTGTATCTTATCCAAACAATAATACTACAATACTATTATTTCCTTTCTTTTTTCTTCTATTTATTCAAACATGAATAGATAGTATTGATATCATTTCTTTTTCTTTTTCTTTTTTCTTTATCATTTCCTTTTTCTTTTTTCTTTTTTTTCCTTAAAGGCAGCCTGGCGACAAATATTGTTGTTATAGAAAAGTATTATTATTATTTTGCTTAATAGCTGGATATGTATGTATTTTGCATTAATAGGTGAAATTAGGGAATGGTTTTATATATATGTTGCATGTATAGGCATGGTGAGCTTTGGGGGGATGAAAATTTAGGGCTTTCTTTTTCAATGACACCGGCTCATTCTAATGTTCCACATGTCGTTCATGCTTTAGACAAGTCATAAGACATGAAGGTATTATTTATTTATAACTTTCGTACTACATATTGAGCAAGAACACGGTCCTTGAGCATGAAACATGTTTATAGTGTATTAACTCAAAGGGTCGGAAGTGAAAAATACTCTTATAATATGTATATAAAATGTATAACTCTTTATACGATTCAAAAAATCCTTAACATTTAATTTTGGAACAAACAAGGACTTGAATGATGAAAATACTAAAGTACTCATCTATAACTAAATAAAAAAATAAAAAAATAAACTAATTAAATGTGAAATAACTAAACTGTTCTCTTTTTATATTAAGGTTGTGGGCAAAAAACACCCGTCTGATATGCATATAGAGTATATCACCCCCTATATGTTCTAAATCTCCTTAACATTTAATCTTGGTGCAAACAAGGACCTAAATACTGAAAAACTAAATTATCTCTCTTAAACTGAATAAAAATTAGATAAAAATAATAATTAAATGTGACAAGTGTGTGTATATATATATATATAAGGACATTATAATAAGAGATAAGGGTATTTTTAAAATTTTATATCTTAAAAATGTTATGTGCAATGCACATGATTAAATTTTTAATGAAACAATTACCACAAACCCTTCTTTGTCACATTTTTGTTCAAACTTAACAGATTTATATATTCAAAATAAATGATAGAGATGTTATTTGCCCAAAATGTAAGCATTAGAGGTGTTTTTCTCACTTTACACTAATAAAGGCATTATAAGAAGAGATAATGGTGCTTTCCGAATTTTATATTTTAACAATGATTTCAAGCTTTTTTTATTTTTTTATTTTTCAAACTTAACGCACTTATGTACACTGCATGAGCCATTCTTTGCTCATTTTTTTAAACTTAATGGAGTTATATATAAAAAATTAACGATAGATGTATTATTCGCCCAATATTAAAATATTAAGGGTGTTTTTCTTACTTTGCCCTAACTCAAATTGGAATATAGAATATGATTTTATTTTAGGAAGTAATATTTGCAGTTCATTAAAAAATAGCATAATTACCCCTTAAAAACATGTATTTTCTTATCACCTTTTGAGTTGTAACAGAAACCAACAAGGGAAATTAAAATAAAAGATAGCAAAGTAAATGAAAGGAAAATATTATGGATTCGATTAGGGAGGTGAATTTTTTTTCAAGAAATCTATTAATTTGTTTTCATTTAATGATTTTCCAGGAATGCATGAAACTTACTACGTCATAATAAATTTATGAAATTTCTTAATAAATCAAAATTTTCTTGTATTTTTTTTATCAAAATTTTATCAATTTTTTTGGTTATAAAAAATCACTTTTCATATAAAAAAATACTTTTTTTCTGCTATCAACGCTATTAAACTTTATAATTTTTTTTTTCTTTCTTAATATTTCTATCTAATCAAATGGAGCTCTAAAAAAATATTCTAAAAATCCAAACATAAGACATATTTTTATGAATATTGTGTTTATACTGCATATGCCACAATGTGTTGTGGCTTCCACACTTCCACTCTGGTCCATATAATTTGAGAATCTTGTGTTTTCCCTGAAATATATAAATTGAATCTGTGACTAAATTTAGTAACAAAATATATCTGCAAATGGAGAAAATAAGTAAATACTCCATAATGATGAACAGCCCAAGTCTAAGTGACAGGGGCATTCAGTTACCGGTAAATTGAATCTGTGATTAAATTTAGTAACAAAATATATCTGCAAATGGAGAAAATAAGTAAATACTCCATAACGATGATCAGCCCAATGCTAAGTCACCGGGGCATTCAGTTACCGGTCGTGTAAGGACAAAAGTAGTAAAACAACCTGCTACAGTAATACCTGACTTCCATATTTTTCTTGACTATTAAAATTATAACTGCTGCTATTATTTTTATTTTATTTTTTCTTTTGGTATCCAATAAAGTACCATTCTTATCCTATTAAGTTTTCAATATTAAAAAATAAGGTCATTCTCCTTATTTCACATCATCATCCTTAACAACAGATTCATGTGAAAGGAATAATTATTTGTCACTTTTAAATAGATTTGAGGTTATTTAACATGACAAATAGATTTGAGGTTTTCACAGTTTATCCAACTATATAATATAATGAAAATAAATGAGTCACATGGTTACAATAAAATTGTACTACATCCCCTTGTCCCCATATATATCATATTATTATGTGTTATGCATTATTTTCAGATTATTAAGGTTTTGTTTGGTTATTATTATTTTTTTTTAGTGTATTGTAACAAAACAAAAATACGAAACATATTTGATAACATTTACATATCATTCCAATAGTATCGAAACACTTTTAAAATTGAGACCAAAATTAGAAGCATCAAAACGATGCTTTTGTTTACTTCTGCACTGTAACACAACATTGTTCATAAAAATAAAATTTTTATTTATTTCTTTCTAAATTAACATATAACACTAAACATGCTTTCAGTTTTTGCTTTCACGTTTTTGCTTCCAAAATAAAACAACCGTTAAAAAAATATATATATAAAAAAAATTGATGCATGAAAAAAAAAAAAAAAAGGAGAGTCTATTTTTTCTATCTGTAAATAGTACCTATTAAAGGTCATTAATAAGAACATATCCCAAAAGAAAATAACCAAGGGTCCAATGTGACCGGGGCATTCAGTTGCCGGTAATTTTGACTGTGGAAAGTCAGAAAATTGAAGATAAAAAAGATACTGTAATAACCGTGACAGATACGCACGATCACTCTCCTACAAATACAATCCAGTTACCTTTCAGTAAAATGCACTCTAACAAATGAATTATCAACATAGTGCCAGGCTGGCACAATCACAACGATGCAGTGATCTAACTATCTCACTGCCACTCGATCTTAACTCTCTTCAGTACAAATTAGACGTAATAAAGATCCCCGGTTAAGGGCACTTCCGTAAAATCGAACCCTAAGCTAAAACCGGGGATTCCCATAGCAAAACAAAGCAAAGAAAAGAAGGAAAGAATAGTAGAGACAGAGACAGAGAGAGGAGAGAGAAACTAGAGAGAGAGAGGAGAGCTCGTCTCTATTTGTCTCTCAGCTTCTTCGTGCTCTTGAGAGCGATCGGATCCTAAGTGATCCGTTCAAGCAATATTTGGAACTGACTCTGGCATTATCGACTGATCAGAGCTTTTTTTTTTTTTTTTTTTTCCCCAAATTAATCTTTACACTCTCTTCTCTCTCTCTTAAATTTTGGTCGCTTCAATTTTTTTTTTGTTTGTTTTCTAGTTTGTCGATCAACTTGTCGACCTCATTGGAAACCTTTTCAAACCCTAATTCGAGGTCTGCAATTTCGAAACCCTAATTTGATTTCTTCGATTTTGAAACCTTAATTTTGATGGCTACAGCTTCTAATTCTGCTACCAACAATCACTCCCCTCGAAGCTCCGGCGACTCAGCCGTCAACAGCCCCAAATCGCGCCGAGCGCGTGGCGTATCCTCGCCGTGGACACAGATTGTTCGCGGCGAATCCGAATCGATCGTCTCGTCATCATCATCGTCAGCTGCTGCACCGTCTTCTCCATCGTCGGGGGCTCTTCAGGAACATACTGCAGGGTTTTCATCTGAATGTTCGCCTTCGAAGGCGGTGGCCTTGGCTTCATTTCCAACTGAAGATTCTGCTGTGGAGGCTCAGCCAGATAGCTCGGATAATGGTACTGGCAATAGCAATGCAGCTAAGAAGACAGCTTGGAACAGGCCTTCTAATGGCGCTGCTGATGTTCGACCTGTAATGGGGGCTGTTTCGTGGCCTGCTCTCTCCGAGTCCACTAAGGCTTCTCCAAAATCTTCATCTTCTGAGTCATCGAAAGCTTTCTCTGACGGATCGGTCTCTGTATCACAGGTTGTTTTCGATGTATTTGATTCTCAATCTGTTGCCTTTTATTTATTGACATTGTGTTGTTGATGTGGAGTTATATTGTTTTTGATGTGTTCTGTATATGCTTGTTGCTAGCATTTCATTCCATTATATGTGTGCGCATGTGTACTATAGGGGACTGGAAATGCTTCTTTTCCTTCACAGAAACAAGTCATCACAAATAATGCGAACCCTAGTTCAACTCCAAGCAGTTTAACGCCCACACGCCATAAGTCTACGAGACGTGGTGGTGGGAGCTCAAGTGGGAGTATATCTGCTAATGGTGGCTTCCCTCAGCCGCCATCGCCAATGGGTCCAGTGGTGGAATTGCATTCTAATAGTGCTGGAAAATCCGGATCTGTTCTCCCAGAGTCTTCTCCGAGAGACCATACATACAAGGAGAGTGGACAGAAGGGGGGCTTTGGGTCACAAACCCATAGTGGGAATGATAACCCACAGCAACGCAATTCATCTAGGAGGGGCAATAGTGGTTCCCATCCTCGCGGTGATGGCTCTTACCATCATCATTATGCGGGCAAGCGTGATCAGGACCGTGGAAATCATGACTGGACTTCTTCTCACCGAAATTTTAGCAGAGATGCTCCTATGCAGACGCAAAGAGTTGTTCCTAGGGGCTTTTTACGACACCCAACACATAGCTCTACCCCTTTTGTTGCTCCTCCACCCATGCCTGTGCAGCCTTATGGCAACCCTATGGTATACCCTGGTAAGATGTGTTACCATTGTGGTTTCATGATTTAAATATGTAAGGCTTCCCCTGACATCTCTGTCCTTTTGCAGACCCGTTGATTTACATTCACGGACCACCAGCTCCTCCCGAGTCCCTCAGAGGTGTGCCTATTATTGCACCAATGCAGCCTATGTATTTCCCTATCCCACCAGATCCTCAATTGCATGCTAAGATAGTGAATCAGATAGATTATTATTTCAGGTACTTTTCTTAATAGTTGCCTTGTGTTATAAGAGTGATCATAATTAGTTAATTATTTTGTCATCTTTGGGAACTTAACCGCTAGTGTATCTCTTATTATTTATTGCAGTAATGATAATTTAATTAAAGATACATTCTTGCGGCGCAACATGGATGACCAGGGCTGGGTTTCTATTAAATTAATAGCAGGCTTCAAAAAAGTGAGTTTTGGGGATAAGTGAGTGGTTTTCTGCTCACTTTCTTTACAATAATTCTGTAATAGTGATTTTTTCTGTTGTTTAGATAGGTATTTTATGATAATTAGTTTCTTTTCGTCATAAATTACTCTTTTAAGTTGCATGGTATATCTTAGTTTACGATAGTGGCGGTTCCTGAATTATATCTAGTATCATCAACCATGCAACTGCTGTCAAGTTGGACTTTGAGTGGGCATATTACAGCATATTATTTTTTGGATCTTCTTCGCATGAAATGTTTGTGCTTCAGATTGTAATGTTTTTAATTTTTCCTTCTTTGCGGTCAATTGTATTATTATATGCTGAATTCGTGGTACTTCATTATTATTCAATTTGTTTTTGTTTTGATGTTGTTCTGATTAGATTTATAAGTGATATACATGTAATTAAAATTATACTTATAATGTCAAGAAATGCCATAACAAGAGATAAGTTAAAACCTTGATTTATGATAAGTGCCAGCAAGAGTTCTGGCTGATCAGGTATCCATTTTTAAAAGATTATTTTGTGCTTTATTGGAGCCTTTTTGTCTTTCTATAAGATTAATCTTTAATATTGGGGGTTGAATTATCGTTCTACTTTGTGGATTGCACGTATCTGAAGAGTGCAGTCTGTATGTTAATGTTTATCTTGATTAAATTCCATTGTTAGTTCTATACTGCAATATTTGAAGCTTTATATGGATTTATAATACATTGTCATCGCCTTTGGATGGAGGAGAGTACGGTTGATGCTTTAATGTTTTGCTCACCTGAGCTTCTGATCAATGTTTTATTTATTTTTTTATTTGAAGTCTTGTGATTCCTTTAATAAACTGGCCAACATTCCATGTGTGACTTTACTTGGACTAGTTTTGGTTGAAGAATTTCTCATCTTGAGATTTGGGTCCAGAAAGTCACCCGCTTCGTTTAGGGCTTACCCATATTATATATAATGGAGGTAATGTACATAATTGTAATATTCTTGAGTATCATATAAAGTTTTTATACTGTTGCATGAGTTGAAATAAAATTGCATAATTTGCACATATTGAGTTGTGTTTGAGTTTAACTTTTGATCTTTGTTGGTTTATGCACGTCTTGAATGTATTAGGATACCATGTATTTCTTGTTAGGTTGTAATACTACCACGTTTGAGTTGTTATGTTTGTTATATATGGGCATTTAAGATGTAAGGATTTGGAACTAATCTCTTGGGAATTTAACACTGCATAAATATCAACATCCAAAACTGTTGTTTCGGCTTTCCCCCCTCCATCCCAGAATGCCAACCGTCTTTGGTCCAGAGATATTAAGGATTTGGAACTAATCTCTTGGGAATTTAACACTGCATAATTTGTTATGTTTGACTTGTTATGTTTGTTATATGTGGGCACTTAATCACGTATAAATTTATACCAATGTGCAGACTTCTATAAATATTAACATCCAAAACTGTTGTTTCGGCTTTCCCCCCTCCCATCCCAGAATGCCTACCGTCTTTGGTCCACATAATATCTCTGGACCATTAGTGAACACAATGAAGTGTTGGTGCATAACACATTACATACAGTAGTGAGAGTAAGAGGCCGAGTTTCAAAGGAAAAGTAGTTGACAAGGGGCAAAAAAACTAAACAACACCCACTGAAGCACATAAGAAACTGGACCAACAATAATAAACATCCTAGAGAGTGAGAGAGACCAAATAAAGTAACTTTTCTCAGTCACAATACTGCACTGCCTAATGCATCTTTACACTTCAATATATCCTTGCCCGCTCCATATTCCATCACCTGTGAGCCAAGTCTTACACTTATGCATATTCCATCACCGGTGATTGCTCATATAGTTAAAAAATGTGATGACAGAAGAATGGAAGGAAAACTTGCCATAAAGAAAATAGGAAAGAGAGAAAGATTGCCTCTTCAAAATTTCTGTTCAGGATCTTATGTTCTTTCTTTTTCTATACTTTACTCCATTTTTCTCTTTAAACTTATTGGAAATTTGGAATACATAGTCGTGGAGAAAATTTGGTTTTGACGATGGCAATGGTGAATTGGATCTTGGGGTTTCTTGATCTTAGGGTAGATTATGTAGCCGGGTTCTTCACATTTATTTCTCTGGTTGCAGCATGTATAATTTGTCCAAGTCCAACTACTATTGGTGCTTTTAAATTTGACTACTTTACTGGTATAGTATCCAGTTTAATTTGGTTAAGTGACACTGGTATTGCCTGTAGTGTCTGACAACTTCATGGAACTCTCACCAGATTCTCTGAGATCAAGCTGGCCTCCTAAAAGAGAGTTGTTGGTTATCCCAACCAAAAAATACTATTTCTCACAAGAAGTTACTTTTCTGTATGTCAAAATATTATTATTATTTTCTCATCATCATTGCCTTCCACGGTTCCACCTCCATGATTCACTATTGTTGAGCACCAGCCAAACCCCAGGACAAGCCACTGCTCAACCTCCAATCACCTACTATCATCAAAATCTGTTACCAGAAACCACAGATCACCATTTTAAATCAGCGTTAAACAACATTACCAATTTACCACGCTCCAGAGTCCAGACTACCCACAGAACACTACCATGCCAACAGCCACAGCCATTGCTCAACTCCCAAACAACCCCTACATCACCAAGCCACCTACCACAAATTACAGATCACCATCTCAAACCATCACCGTTTTTCATCGTGACTCAGTTTTGCTTCTTTCTCTCTACTCTTCTGTACTGAAAAAGTTGAACTTTTAAATGATTTTCATTGCATGGCTTTTGATATTAACTTCTGCCTATTAAGAGAATTCTGTGTGTCGGTTCCAAGGGAAAAATGGAGGTGATGACAATAGAGAGATGGAAAGTTGTATGATGTTGTTAGTTGTTGTGTAGAGTGAATCAAAGGAACAAATTGCTACCAACAAGCAAAGCAGAAGGGATTTTTGTATAATTTTTCAAACTAGATGGTGACTGTCTGCAATTGTTAAAAACTTCAGGGAAGGCCAGTTTAATTTATCAAAAAAACTAGTTAAAAACTATTTTATTTATAATAGTTTTGGATACTAATATTTTATTTGATACATAGTGCCAATTTTTCTGTATGTTAGTATGCTGTGCAATTTTTTCAAAATTCTGATATTTTTTTTGGTAGTCTGGTAAGCTTTATATACTTTTTATTGTACTTGAGTCCTTGATAGTTATGATGCATAAATATGTTAAGATTCTATGCATTCTTTTGTGTGTATCAAGATTTAGAGCTATAGTAACTGAAATTTGGCTGTATCTTTGGTATTTTGTTGTACTGGGACCTGTTGAAATATTATGTTCAGTTCCAAAACTTAAAGTCGTGATGACATGTGCCTATTTGATAAGAAATTTGGACATTTAAAGGATCATGGTTAGGAACTCTGTTTGATTTTCAAACTGAAATCATGTTCGCTTTCTTATTCCTGCTTCTTCGAACAAATGCTTTCTATGGAGTCTGGCTGGTTTTTGAGGATTTTGAAATTTTTTTATTTCCTTTTTCTTTTCAATGTATTTGGCTAGTTCTATTGTCAATGGTTCATTCCTGACCCACAATATTTCAAAATTGTTTTCTTTGTAATGTTTTTCAAATTGATGTGTTGAACTTGAATATCTTTTGTTTGTATAGAACCTTAATGTTTAGCCTATAAAGCAATTTAGATAAATTTTGGAGTAAAAGCATAATGGAAGGTTGGCTTCTAATAGTAGCAAATATGATTTGCATCTCCTCCTCAGAAAGAACAACGTGTTGCTATCATGTATACCAACAGTCGTATTGTTTGATGGAAAATGAATTTCTTGTCAGGAAACGACTTCCATTATTATAGAGGGAGCCTACATTCTCCCTTATGTAAGGAGGAAAATCATAGAGAGTAAACTAAACGATAAGAACTTTACTATATATTTTTTATTTATTTTTTGACAATATAATTCCTATTTTGTTATACATAACAGTTAAGGTTTTGTATGTTCTCTTGGCTTTGCATTTTCAATTTGTACATCTTTTGATAGCATTTTCTTCTTTTAATTCTGTCATTTTATTGGTTTCATACTAAGTCATGGGTTGTATATGTCATATGAAGTAATACATGCATATGCATATGTATAACGGATACCAACAGGCCAGTGGCCTAGTGGTATCAGCCCCCTACTTCCCAAGGGGAGGTTAGGGGTTCGAGCCTCCATGGAGGCATGTGTGTGTGAGTACCAACTAAGAAAAAAAAAAACATATGTATAACGGATGGATAAATTCATAATTATCAATTAATATCCACTTATGTAATAACATAAATTTGATGGAGTGATGTGATCAACATTATAAAATTTTACACAATTGGATTAATATTTGCTAGATATATATACATATCCTTATCTACTTTATTCTAAATAGCTATACATGACATTATCTATTAAATTGAAAGGCATTTGATGAATGGGGTCTGTGGGGAAATTTCAGGGTCAGTCACCAGAGAAGCTCTTTGAACTCTTAATTTATTATTATTATTATTATTATTATTATTATTATTATTCTTGTTTTTCGGTGGAGGGGCATTCAGCATGAAGAATGTGTTTTTTGTAATTAATTTTTGCTTGTCAAACCTGATAGATCAGGTAATTTTGTTGTTGTTTAATCTAGAATGTCTGTTTTTATATTCGCTGGTTAACAATATTTCAATATGTTTTCTTGGTACCATATTTTCCAGTGCTCTGCGGTTATGTTATAAAATGTGCAAGTCCCATAATGTTTTCCCCATGCACTGTTTGTGTGCAAGTCCGGACCTCTTTTGGCCATCGCATAATGTTTGTCCGTTGTAGAAAATAAACCCAAAAGGTATCTTTGCTTTTCCACAGTACTGGTTTACTTTATCTTTCACACCTTTCTGAATCTCACATAAGCCAATGGGAGCTGATGAGATGTCAATACGTTAGTTATGTTTCCTAAACATTTATACGTTCTCCCAGGTCAGATTTAGCGGGATGGATTGAGTAGATAATAAATGTGATTTGTAGATTCCACTGAATTATATGAACTGGGTGTGTTATCAGCTCCTAACAAGTGATATATCCATGCTGTAATAAATATTTTTGTGCTAACCTAACACGTATCAAGAAGTTATTTGAGTATGACGTGAATTACAATCACTGTTTCTAGATCACCGGCAACCTCTACTACCTTGTTCAGAGTTTAGCGCTATCTTTGTTGGTGACTACAGTTAGTAAGTGCTAACGCAAATTCTGCTGACAAATATTTGGATGAGATATGCAATTTCTTAAATTTCGTTGAAAAAAAAAAAATGGTTTTTCTTCATAGAAATGTTTTATTTTTCTTGTTTCTTTTTTGGATTCTAACCCTTTTTAAAGTTGTAGAGTGAAGAAATTGGAAAAGAGGAAAATCAATCGCCTTTTTCTTCTAGCACAGTGCCAAAAGTTGTGTCTCAACTTTTTCGAACCTCTTCCACTACGATCTGGCCAAATACTGCGGCAATTGTGCCAGCATAGTATGATCTGGCTCTTTTCTTTTGATGAACACCACATACTCTCTTATTATCCCCTTTGGCCTTTATGCTAGGCAATTTGAGAGATTCTTTATTGAATTCCCTTGTTCTTGAAAGCATCCGCATCTTTGGGCAGTCAGCCAAGTATGCAAAAGAATTAGATGGACTAATGGTTGGTCATTTGAGTTTTGTTGTGTTTCTATTATGTAGAAAATTCTGTTAAGGAAACCTACTGAATAAAGTACCTCTTAAGGAAACCAATTGCTGGCCCCTGCCATGGATCTTCAATTTTGAGTGAGCATAGAATAGATCCTGGTTGGAATTAAATGGATTCACTATAGTTCTATAAAATAATGTTACAATAATGTTTAGAAAAAGGTTATAATGAACTTTGGATTGGAGTGCAGTTTAATTCAAAGACCATTTTGATATATCCAATTTTTGTCAAATTTCACGTGTTGCAAATTCTTCATATCCCTGCGGTTCAGATTTTGCAGTTTTTCAGGTTAATACTAACATGATGAACTGGTGTTGAAATCATAATGGTAGAGATTGGAGCAATTTTTGTGTTTTTATGCTTGGAATAGGGAAGAACACAAGTACAGAATTATGTCAATGAGAACTTTTCAGTTCTATGCTTCTTCTAATGTGCACATCTGCTTGAAATTTAAATGGATTTGCATGACCGAATGTTCTTTGCAATGCAAAAGTTGTTTTACTTCTAAAAACCGATACATGTCTTGGTTTGCATAATTATCCTGATTATTTCTACTACGAATATCACATTCGGTATTATTTTTGGGTTACACTTGAAGAGAGTGAATTGCAGTTCTATCTGTAGAGAATTGTTGAGGAAGATGGTATTGGTTTGTTTTCTAGGTCTTTGAACCATGTTCTCACAATCCAATGGAAAGAACAAAAAGTTAGATAACAAATGGGGAATGGCTTTTGGTGCATGCCATTGTCAGGTTAGCAAGTAACCTTAGTTTTGAAGCTCTGGCATAACCAAAATTTACTAATGGTATAATGTCCTGGTTTGCGCACCCCATTGTAAGAACTAAAAATTAGATAAGAACATGGCACGACTTTTGTTTCATGTCATTCTTAGTGGCCTTGATTGTATTATGGAGATGTGTTGTAATTCATTTAACGAAGTTGAAATTTAGAGCATATTAGGTAGCAACCTTACTTCTTGTGAATGAATCAATGTTGTGCAATGGAATTAGATTCTGAAAATATAGTTGTGTGCACCCATGCGTGGAGACTTCCTATGGTGAACAGTTGACTACTGGATGAATGAGTATTAATGAATGATGTGTTATATTTGGTTGTAATTTCTTAGTATTTCCCCTTGTAATTTATGGTTTCAGTTTGTTTGTCGAAACATTGCTTGGTCTAGTTAACCCATGGACACCTCTGTTGCTTCCAGATCTGAAATGTGTCATCTGTGGATGTTTGTTTATTGAACCACATTCAATATCTTATATATAATTCTTTCTGGTAAGTTAGTGGATTCACTATCTCCTTGTAATGTCTTTTCCCGGAATCCTATTTTTTTTTTTTTTTTTAAATTTAAAAATAAAACCTAAGTTCTCTCTCTCTCTCTCTCTCCAAATGCATCTTATATTTCATTACTATGGATTCGCATTAAAGTGCAACACATGTACTTGTGGATGATTGAGATTCTTCGTATATCTCATCTCCGATAGTAAGGGATTCTCGTGTGGGACAATTGAGAATTTGGAGTGGTCAAATTTGGAGGCTTTATATCTTGGTGCAATGTTGGCCTGGAAATTGCAAATAAAGTGGCATACTAATTAAATGATCTCCTGGCAAGTGTCTTGAAATATTTGAAGGAGCCACTGTTGTGGATGAGGTAAATCTACTGATGCTCAAGATTTAATGGTCATGACGTTATGTCGTGGAACTTTCTTTTAGTATGGTGGATGAAGGCTGAGTAATTCTTCATATCTCATATATGTGATTTTTCATTGACTTATCTCTTTCATATCTTTTTGCTGGTCTCTTTCATCAACAGCATTGTTGTTATAGTTTGCTATACAAATACACAAGTTAAATCATGCTTCTACTTGAAGTCTAAAATCTTAGTATTACGCTTCTCTGGGAACAAATTCCTTCTCTAACTTGCAATGTAACTGCGAAGTTCACTCCTTGGCTTCTTTTTCAGGTTATGCAATTGACAGACAATGTTCAGTATATATTGGATGCTGTGCGCAGCTCAACTGTGGTGGAAGTACAGGTATGCTCTATTTCTTTTGAAGGATTGAATTTCTTTCATTGTTTACTGATATTATTTTTTAAATGTATTTGTTTAGTATATTTTTGTGCATGCATGTGGTACATATAAGAACATCAGACTAAGGTCCCCACCGTTTACTCTTATTTTTGCACCTCTCAAACCAACCAAGCAATGGGCGGTGGTTAAAGTGTTTGATTTTGGAAGTAATGATGTGCTGCTTTTGAATTTTTGGTTCTTTCTTCTTATTTGATCCACAGTCCATCAGAATTTGATACTAAATTGGTAACTTGCAATTTCTGGTTTCTGATTTCTTCATTTAAAATATTTAATTTTCCTTTCCTTTCCTTTTGTGTTCTGCAGGGTGACAAAGTAAGGAGGCGTAATGAATGGGTGAGATGGTTAATGCCTCCTGTTCAGATTCCCACAGTCTCAAGTCCTCAATCATTTGGAAGGTCCGCTCACGATATGCTGGCAGCCAACCTCCAAAATGTTTCACTTGGAAGATCGTCATCGGGGGATTTGAATAGCCAATCGCAACCATCCAGCGGTGAGGGGTTTGGCCAAGCCAGTTCTGAACGTCCAGTTTCAGCAAGAAGTTCGAGTAATTGAGAATTGAGCTAATGCTTAATTCTCATGGAAGGTTTTTTGATATGGAAATGGTTGGAGAGACGGGGGGGCTCAATGATGGCAAAAATCTTACTTTTCTTGGAGATAATGGGTCTTGGTCTTGCTGTGACATGATGAAACATGGCATTTCATTAAGGAAATAGACAAACAAAATTAAAAGGAACAAAAAGAGGAAATTATAACAAAAATAAAAAGAAAAACCAGAGGAAGAAGGAAAAGGAAGAGAGCTCTTATGACTGTAAGGTAGTAGTAGCATGAGTTTGTTGGGACATATGTATGGTTTTGGAGGGAACTGTTGTCTTCTTCTATTTCATGGTTATCTATTGTGACTTGGTTATGATGATGATGATGTTGGGGATTTTGATTTTATTTCCCCTTGCTGCCCCTCAGCTGGTTTTACAAAATGTTTGGGGTCAGATTATCTCCCATCTTAGTAGTTAAAAAACTACATATGAGATTGGGTGGGTGGGGTGGAGGAGTTGGTGGGTTTGTGTTTATGTGCTTATAGGTGAAGAAGATATGATGTTGTCAGATGCTGCTGCTCATGTTGCTACTCTACTACTATCACTACTGTGCTATTATTGCTTGCATAATTATCTCCTTGTTTAGGGGTTTATCTATTTTTTTCGTTTTTATTTTAATTCTCTCTCGGTTTTTTTTTTTTTCCTCTTCGTTTATTGGATATTGTTTAATGTATACCTTCTTCAAGGCCCTCGAAGATTTTACTGCATAAATTGCTTTTTGGTAGGGGGCAGACAACTTTGAAACACGCAGGTTAGGGCAGGATATGTTTGTTAATTTAAAATTCCGAGATGCTGGACTTTTATATGTTCTTGATGTTGGATTTTTTTTTTTTGGTAGTACTCCAGACGTAACATGTTGGGTGTGAATAGGTGATATGGCTCTCTGTTTGTTTTTATGCCAGTTTTCAGAGAGGAGGAATGCTTAGGACGTTTGCGATTGCACGACCTGTCCGACCTCCTATTACAATGAGGCAGGATGAAGAACTTCTTCATAGTGGATTTCTTCTAAGGCACAAAGAAGCTATTAAGATCTTCAACTTAGGGGCAGAAGTGTATTTATCGGTCACATGGTTTTGGAGTTCAAAAGGATGTTGCTCTGAGTTTACATGCATATTCCCAAAAAAAAGAAATTTAAATAGTAACTTAAATCACCGAAGGAGAAAAAAAAAACATTCAAGAAAATTGACAGAAAAAAGCTATTGTGTGCAACATGCTCAAAAACTAGAGGCCTTACCCACTCGGAAACTAAAAACAATGTACTTAAAACTTATTTCACTGTATAGAATTACGACCAATGTTATGCATGCATCAAAGTTGTCTATATCACGTTCTTCACGAACACCCGGTTCTAATATGTACAAACTCAACCTTTGTTAGGCACATCGATAGACATACCAATATACAGCTTTGTACCTACTATATTCTTAAACTATGTTGTTTGAGATTGATGCATGCCCTGCTTATGATTTTTCTTTTTTTAAATAGCCACTGATATGGAAAATCCCATTTCGTAATTTAACTTCCATAAGAGATTTGTGATCTGTTAATATATATTGATGATATAAATTCGATTGAATTGATAATTAATAGAGTGGATTTAGGTTGATCAACAATTAATTTATTTGTACATTGTAATAGGAAAAAAAAAAAAAAAAACATTTTATCTGGATGTTTTCTTATGATAAGTAATTTAAGAAGTGTCATTACATTAGTTTAATTTGTTTTTATACAATTTAATTTGATCCTCAAAATAATATATACTTTTTCACTTGCTCCTGGTCAAATCCAATTAGCAGGTCATATATCCAATTGTTTACATATTCATGATTGGATAGGTTGTTATTAATTGTAGGGTTATGGGATGCAATTATTCTTGATCTAGTTATGGGAAAAAAAAATGTTAGGAGTTGGTGCAATTAATTGGCTTTGCCTAATTCAAAGTACGAAACAAAGTCCTTTAAGAACACAGATATATATATATTAGACATAAGTCTTCCACAAAAATCCGTTGTCGTCCAGCGGTTAGGATATCTGGCTTTCACCCAGGAGACCCGGGTTCGATTCCCGGCAACGGAACCTTTTTGTTTTTCACACTAAGATATCTTTAATGTAGTATAACACCCGTCGAATAGGTTAAGTCCAAAACTTTAGTAGAGAGGAAAAAAAAGAGAAATTTTTTTAATTACATTTAAGAGAGACACAAATTGATTGTTGTGTGTATAGAAGAAGTGAGTAGACATCATACAAGGATTATAAGATAGTTTCGGGGAAAAAGTGTTACCAACCAAATATGATTTGATTACTAATATTAGACTATGTAGTAACTGAAGGCATTAACTACAAAACACCAAGGGAAGATAACATGGAACAAAGAGACAAATTTTTAATTTTTAATATTTTATTATTTTATTACCAGAAACGCTATGCAATTGAAATATGACAATGTAAATATTTTATGGTTGAAAATTGCGAATCCTATTAGGAGGCTTGGGAGAAACAAATGGAAATAATTTTATTAAAATAAACATATGGTGGTGTGTAGGGACGGATCCAGAAATTCATGTGAGGGGGGCGATCTTTAACGTGGCGTGATTGACGTCACTGTGAGTTAAGTCTGTTCAGCCTGTTCTTAATTCTTCTTTTCAATAGAGTTCCGATTTTCTTAACCTCACTTCCAATTTTCAGTTTCTTGGATATATATTTCAATTTCTGATTTTCTTTCAGTGGAATACTTTGCAAATCTAATTTTACTATGGTTCTAAAAAAGTTAAGTCAAAAGACGCGTGAGAAGAGGGAGGGGGCAACAACGCTTTTTTGTTTGAACTCCGTGAGGGGCAAGTATTAAATTTACAGCTAAATAATTTAATTTATTATAAAAAATAAAAATTTAGTTGGTACTCACACACACTTGTATATACCTGACGGTATGAGGCTGATACCGATAGGCCACTGGCCGGTTGGTAAATAAAAAATCATAAGTAGGGCAAGTACTAAAGAATTATAAGCAACTTAAAAATAAGGCTGAAGGATTAAAAAAGATGTACAAATTGATAAAAATTAGAAACAAAATGACTAGCTGTATTGAGTACATAGATCAAAACACATTAGTTAGAGAGAAGGAAAACTTTACTTTCAACAACTTTTAAATGAGAATATCCTTGATAGATAAGACATTGACATACAAAATTGCACTCCCTCCATTCCACAAAAATCATCCACCTTTGTAATATTTTTTAAAAAATATTTATAATTTACTCTCTGTTATTGAAGTATGTGAACCTACCATTGAGGGATATATTTAAAAAATAATTCCCTATCACTATAATAAATTTTATTTGAAAAAAAAAAAACAACATTGTTAGAAAGTTAGATTCATAAACATTTTTTTGTGAATAGTGTATGAGTATGTTTTTAACCAATGAAAAAAATAAAATTAATAAGTCAAACCATGAAATTATGGGAAAGGGTAATAAACCAAAGACTACGGAAATAATATACCATGTCCATAAAATCAATTTGAATTTATGCCAAGGAAATCCATTAACGCGACCATTTGCCTATAGAGGATTGCATAAATAAGTAAAAGATATACACTAGATTTTTATAAACTTAGAAGAGGCATACGATATGATTTGGCGGACTCTAAGAAAAAACATATTCTTTCTAGATTTATAGAACATATTAAGGACAAATACAAGGGCACCCATAGATGTATAAAGCTGCAGATAACAAAACCAGGGATGAACATCCTGCTGTTATTTACGTTTGAAAGAGGTCCGGTGGTTCACAAATTATGAAATTAAGATTAAATTGAGAAAGATGAACCACAATAAATTCCTTCAAGTTTGGATTGCATAGGTAACTGTTTCCTTCATAAAGTTTGCTTCCACCATACCATACCATAACATACCATACCCACTTGTGGATTTCTCATTCAAATGCCCACTGGTTCTCCCTCCGAATCTCTTCCTCTTCCTCAGAGGTGAAGTCGTTCTGAATGTTAAATGTTCTGCGGATCTCGTCAGGGGTCTTTCCTTTTATCATGTCAGCAACTGTTTCGCATGTCAGGTCCAGCAAACTCTTTATGTTCAGATAGTTTGCAGCCTGCAGAGGACAAAACATAAACAACCAAATTAAGAAGAAGAAGAAAAAAGAAAAGAAAAAGAGTAAAAGTAATGTATGAAATAGAACCCACCACAAATCTAGAAATTGGATGTAATGTCCAAGACATTATAATAAGGCTCAGTAATATCAGACAATATTAAAAATCTAGCTAAATATCCACAAGTATCAGTTTACAGAAGGATATGTACATGTTAAGTTTTCATTTTTGAAAATAACAAAAAAAATGAATTACAATAGGAAACCATTTAAGAAGGTTGAACTACTTCACCAAGAAAATAACAAAAAAAAAACCTAGGTAAGATATCTGCTCATCTAGTAGCAACGAGAATGCATTAGCAAGCAAATAAGTACTCCCTCCATCCCAAAGTGGACATCTATTTTGCGATAGAGGGAGTAATAATTTAACTAAAGCACAAACCAACTTCACACGAATAATGAATAAAATGCAGATCACAAACTAATAACGAATAATGAGTCTGCCAGGATTTGGTAAACTCAGATCACAAACTAGATAAGTCTATTTACTTATGAAAATCTAATACTGAATTCCAAGCTTATCACCTGAATTTTGGTGTAACATATGAACAGTAACTGAAAGAAAGGAAAGCAAAATCTTATTTGATGTGCTGGGTAAACACCCAGAGAGGTAATGGAAGCACTAAACTGCAGAGAAGCTTAGAAAAGCTAAATAGTGAATTGTTTAACCAGCACATGCATTCTGACCATCAAAACAATGAGCAATTAGTATATAAGCCCGGAGAAAGATGGGGTGAAGTAAGTAGTAGGAACATACTTTCTCAACAAAAAGTTAATCCAAAACATAACATATACATCTGTGTAAAACAAAAGATAGGGAATGCTAATCAAGCAATTATTACAAGCAGCAAGAGCGACATGAATTTGTTAAGATACCTGATTCAATTAAAGAGGCAATTAAATCTGTTACATACTTGCATGATGCTAATGAATACCTCATAAAGTACATATGTGATATGAACCAATCATAGAAATATACACCATGAAGACATTGTGAAGACCAAACCTTTAGCCCAAGTGGTATCTCACAAAGGATTGAGGTTTCAATTCTGCATGGTTCGTGTGCAACTTGAATCAAGGGTACCGCGGGAAAGTAAAAAACAAAAAAAATTGTCCTCCAAGAAAAAAAAAATACCAATATCATCCAATTTTATAAGTTTTCACAGCTAGCTAGAATTTAGAAAACAAGCAGCCAGAAATATAATTCTGTAAAACTAAGAACAACAAACAGGACTAAAGCATTTAGAACATCTTCCAGCATGCAATTTGAAGTTTTTAATTCTTTTAAGTCCTTATGTTTCATTCCATCCATACTTCTAACAACATATAAGCATATAATTTTCTAAAATTACAATATTTTCATTCTATTTTGATTATTTGTACTCAGAAATCAAATACTTAAAAAATAAAAGTTAAATCAACGACTTCACTTTTTTCATCCACAAGTCTGGTAAGAAAGATCATTACAAGGATAACACTTACTTATCCTAGAGAGAAAAAACAATAATCAAATCCAAGGAATACGTAATACCCATACCTTTTTCATAAAGCATGGAATCACAGAATCGGATGATTAGCCTCAGTACAGTAAACGTACTATTAGAGACTAAAAACACTGAATATAAATCTAAACCCTAACAGAAGCATCACACGCGCAACAAAAAAAAGTAACAAGTAAGAATCGAGCCCTGACTTGAACGTTTGGCATACCCACAACAACAGAAGTATGAATCGAATCGAATCAAATCAAAACCCTAAAAAATTCCACACAGACACCCAATAAAATAACTGAATCGAGAAAAGAGAAGTTAAAAGACCCAATCGAATACATCTATATAGAGAGAGGAGAGAAGGTCACCAGAATAAGATCGAAGAGAGTAGGCTGATCGACATTCACGAACTCGGCGTCCCAGGTCTTGAGCTCCTCATCGACCGTACGTTCGTCGGTCTTGGGGGACTCGACGTGCTTCTTAGAGTACTCAATCACTTTGGCCAAGATCTTGCTGGTGACGTTCGGCAGAGGGAAGACGCAATCGTCGGAAGCGTCTTCGATCATGTTCTTGATCGTCTGTGATTCAAGTGCGACGGCCTCATCCACTTCGAAGGACTCGCCATCGGAGCTCTTCAAGGTGATCTTCTTAGACGACGACATTGTATTCGATTCTCTACAAACTTAGCTCCAAACCACTTCGCCCGCAAAAGAATGATATAAATGGGGGAGTCTGAGCTGTACTGCAATTTTAAATTGGCTGGAATTGCACACGTGATGAGTGCGTGAGAGGTGAAATGTCGTAATTGCACATGGAGCATTACACGAGTAGATGCGCATCGCGGACAAAAAATCGGACGATTTCGTAATGTGCAATGTTGCAAACACCTAGTTTTTTTTTTTTTTTTTTTTTCGGCCTCCTAATAAAAAATTTCTCATTTTTTATAATTTCGGATTAATTTTAATCTCTGAAACATTACTATCACCGCCTCGCATAGATACATCGCTGATATCAACCCTCCTAAGTAGTGTTCAACAAGTTTTTTTTTTTATAATTTTGAGTTAATTTTAATAAGAAAGTGATAGTTGCACCAATTATTTAATCCCAAAGCAAAATTTTAAAAACTTTTTATTTATTTATTATTATTTATTTATTTATGTTTTGCAAAATTTTGCATATTCTTAAATATATATATATATATATATATATAAAGGATAAGGTGTTAGGAAATTAGTACCAATTAGTAAACTGGTTTGCTAACATAGGGAGAGTGTTTTGATAAAATTTTAAAAACAAAATTATGGGGATTGAATTGTAAGTATGTTTAAGAATTTATATATATACATATATATATATTGATGATTTTTTTTAGAAATATATATTATTATACATCTATCTAGAGAGACATAATAGTGTTCTAATAAATTTTATAAAAAGAATTTAAGGGATTTTTAATTATAGTTGTTTTTTAAACATGATTTCAATTAAGTGATCCTAAAAAAGGAGTGATGAATATAAGAAGGCAATATAAAGATAATTTTGTTTTTAAAATTTTATATTGTTTTAATAAATATTCTAGTGAGACCATTTAATTGTCATATTAACTTGTCTTTTTTTACCACTTACATTCTGCCTAATATATTGATCTAATCTTTCTACTTTAAGTATCACGACTTTTTTAATAATATTTTATAAGATTTGGACAAATTTCCCTATAGATATGTTTCAAACATTACTATCAACGACCCCAAATGACTTTTTTTTTTTTTTTGGTTAATGAAACTGTTAAAAACGTATTAAATAACAATTTTATCCCTTTTTTTAAAAAAACTTTTTATTCCAAAATATCAGCAATTTAAACTGATGATATTGCCTTTATTAATTTCTCACACCCACCCACCCACCCACTTTCCTATTCTCTCTCTTCACCATTACACATCTGAATCACCATGAAACCCTTCCTCAAACCCTAATCACAGAGTATACTCACTTTCTCCTCTTTTTTTTCCTCTCATTTTTTTCCAGAACTTTATCTGCCTCTCTCATTAAATGCCTGAGATATTATTTTTCTCTCCTCTCATTCTCTCACTAATGTTGCCCTCCAAACAAACCTTCACTCTCCTTTACTCAGATAACTTGTGATATTCCTTAGCCTCAAGAATCCAAGTACAGTTAAATGCTTACCGCGTAAAACTTTGTGTTTCAATCATATCGAAGAGGTATAACATGTTTGTATTTTAGCTCTTTTCAGACTCATCGTTAAGGTCTAAGTCACACAATTTTTCTCAATAGATGTCCTCTAAATATATTAGTGTCTATCTCGTAATCACGAGCTGAGCGAAAGTGGTCAGGTAAAGTTCACTTTAGGAAAATCGTCCCGCTCCGCTGCTGTCAACTCCGAGCGGGAATTCGCTCTCACTTTTGCTTACTTTTTATGTGACTTACGTTAAGTTAATTAAATATATATATTCTCATATTTATATATACATGTAGGGTAAGTGCAGAAAATACCTGTAAAGTATATTTATAATGCATATCACAATCCTTGCGTGCAAAAAACATTCTTAAATTTTCAATATGGTGCAAATAGGTCCGTTTGACAAATTTAAACCCTAAATTAAGTAAATAATTTTATAAAACTTATAAAAATAAATAATTTTGTAAAATGACTGAAAAGGACACTATTGGAGACTTAAAGTTTCAATCTGGTGCAAATAAGTCCCTTAAACCTTAAATTGACTAAATTACCTTTACTGAAATATTTTATAAAATATATAAAAATAAATAATTTTATAAAATGACCGAAAATGACACTATTGAAAAACACCGGCAATAGACAAGTAAAGATAAAAATATAAAATAAAAATAAAATTATAAAATAAAAGTAAAGCTAAAAATAAAAAATAAAAAGCAAAAATAAAGTGCAAACTAAAGAAAATAAAAATTTTCAAACTCCGAAAACTAGTGCACACTGATTTTGAGAATATATATTTTTTATTTTTAAACAGTGTTGGTACGAAAAAAATAAAATAAAGAAAAAGAATTTAGTAGAAAATAGTAAAATGAAATATCAAAAAATTCAAATCTTTGTTATTTTAAAAAAATGTTTAGAGATATATATAGAGATTTTTTTTTTAATATATATATATATATATATATATATATATATATATAAGGTAAGGTACACATAACACTCTATACTATGAAATTAGTAGTATATATATTCCCTTGGGTATTTTTGAAAGAGTAAAAGGGTAAAACGAGTATTACAACACTAATTTATGTCACATGGAGTACTTTTTGCATAATGTGAAAAAATTAAGGGTATTTTTTGTACACATTTCAAATAGAGAGTAAAAAAGCTACGTGAAATATACTTTAAAGGTATTTTCTGCACTTGTCCCTGTACATATATATGTATTGATTTCTCCCAAAAGTCTGATTTTGCTTCAAAATTCATTAAAAAAAAATCATATAGAAATACAAAGTGAAAAAGAGATTCATTACTTTTTATTTACATATATATATGTATTGATTTCTCCCAAAAGTCTGATTTTGCTTCAAAATTCATTAAAAAAAAATCATATAGAAATACAAAGTGAAAAAGAGATTAATTACTTTTTATTTAGTATTTGTAATTTTAGTTTGATTTGGATTCTTGAGGAAGGGAGAGAATTTGTTAGAGTGAGGAAGAGAGGAGAGAGAAATCCACCCAAAAAAAATTAGAGGAAGAGAGAAAGGAGGGGCGTTTAATTTATAAAAAACAGTCAGCAGCACTGCTGACAGTTGCTCCATAGATACCATGGGGTTAATGGGTAGAAATGTCATTTTATACTTTAAACATTTCTTTAACAAGTCAATGCCATTAAGCCAGGGAGGTAGATTTTAGTTTTTATTGGGTTGATTTAATCAATGAGAATTAGAAAGTGTAGCGTATGGATGTCTTTGCTGACAACTTTTTAATCCATATGAAGTCCAACTTGTATCTCGAATTTCTTTTAGTCATGGACAAATGAAAGACTCCCAAATTTGGGACTTTGGCAACTTGGGAAGGTTCACTGTAAAGTCAGCGTATCACTTAGCTTCACTAATCTCTAATACTCAAAATATGAGCGACATGAAGATGGAGGTTTATAATGGATAATCGACACATTTGGGGTACGGTGTGGCAGTGTACATTGCCTTTCTAAGTAGAGCACTTCATTTGGAAATGTTGCCACGGTGCAATACCAACAGGGACAACTCTAGTACGGCGAGGCTGCTTAGATGACTCGGTTTGCCAGCGATGTTGCAGGTCTGGAAGTTAACCCCCCTTCGCTGGGATTTTATTCAATTTTTTTTGGGTGGTGGGTTAGACTCTACTTCTTTAGCGTCTACAAAGGAAAAAAATAAAATGTTGGGATTGGCTTCCTTTTGTGTTTGGGCAATTTGAAAGGTTTGGAATAAGAAGGATTTTGAGCAAGAAGTTTGGAATCCTTTAATGGTGGCAAATCTAGTTACGAGTCGATTTTGGGAGTTTTTGAATGTGCAAGAGAAATGTTAGCATATTCTTCACAAACCACAAATGATAGAGTCCCCTAATCCATGGGTATGTCCTTTGTCTGGAGTCATAACATGTAAAGTTGATGCTAGTTTTTCGATGCTATCTAAGTTAGGAGGCGGAGGTGCAATGTTTCGGGACTCTTCTGGATCCCTTCAAGCGGTAATATTTAAGCCTTTTCCTTCCTCTTCGGTGTTAACGGCAGAGACATTTTGCTTTAGATGTGCTATATATTGGGCTGGAGTGTTTAACTTTCAAGTTGTGTGCTTTGAATCGGACGCTAAATTAGTGATGGATGCCTTAGAAGGGGTGAGATCTATAACCCTTGAGAATGCTTCTATGTTATATGACATCCGCACAACACTACAAAAATTATAATGGGCTTCGATTTAGGATGTTCGACGTAATGGTAATCGGGTGGCACATGCTCTTGCAAGAATCTCAAGGAATGATATGGAATTGGACTTGGTTCTTACTTCATTGCCTCGTTCAATCTTTCGACTTCTGGAGCTTGATGCTGCTGGTAGTGCTTGTTAGTGTTTGTTCTTTCCTTTGCTTGTTTGTCGTAGCCAAAAAAAAAAAAAAAAAAACTAGTAAAAGTGACGATTGGGGAGCAGGTGAAAAACGAAACAAATGTTTGTAACGTGAGTGATAATAATTTTCAAAAGATGTATCCATGTGACATTTGTCCAAACCTCAAAAAATGTCATTGAAATTAACCCTATAATTCTGTGTCTGCTTAGAACACTGGATAAGGAGTGACAACAAGCATAACTCCCTTGTCTTTCAAAATATATGCTAGAATCAATAACCAAATCTTATTTACCAAAAAAACAATATAGCCTTTTCCCAATTACTTGGAATCGGATACATGAATCCCATGTTTTCGATTTCACTCTATTTAAAGCTATAGCCTCCGTCACCGGACACCAATGCAGTTCTTCTTGCCCATTTTTCGAAGCATCCAGAATCTGATGCAATACATCGCCTATGTAAAATAATTTAAAACTTAAAAGTTTAATTACCTTCAATGTTCCAATAGACTCCCCACCTTGGCTGGATATACCCCAAGTAAGGAGCTTTGGACCTTAGATGCTGCAAGAATCTCCTATGTTTACGGGGTGTGTTTGAAATGAGAGAGTTGGAAGGAAAGAAAGGAAAGAAAGGAAAGGAAAAGATGGGAGAGAAACTGAAAAGAACAATCTTCATACAAAATACAGTCACAAAGTTCACAACCCATACATATCTCAAATAAAAACATAATTTATCCATAATAACTAGTCTTTGAAACAGAACACCAAATTAACACAAGTCCAAACACCGTAAGTTACACCAACAGTTGGAACATAAAAGACCTTATTTTTCAAAGGTTCCGAGCATAATAGTTCCACACCTACAATATAAAAAATATATACATACATATACATAAAACATAAAAATTGCATTATATTTATTAGTAGAAAATTGAGTAGAAAAATGTCTGAATTTAAATAAGTTACCTGCTATATCTTTCCATAACTAATCCTTTGCCCACATCAAAGCCTCTAAAGTCTTTGGCTCAAGTCTGCTATTCCCACCAGTTGAAACCTTCATCATCAGCATCAATTTCGGAAGCACAACTTGGTTCTGCTGTTGAACATGTAACTACATACACAAAATATAAAACTAGCATCATATTTAATAGGACAAAATTGAGTAGAAAAATGACAAAATTTAAGTAAGTTACCTGCCATATCTTTCATTAACCAATCTTTTGAGCACATCAAAGCCTCTAAAAGCTTTGGCTCAAGTTTGCTACGTTGAGTACTAACCGCCTTGCCGTGAGTGCTGAATACCGATTTAGATGGCACAGTAGATACTGGAATAGCCATAACATCCCGAGCAATCTTTTGCAAAATCGGATATTTAATGCCAACATTTTTCCACCAACCTAATACATCAAAACCTGGTGTTCGTGGCAGAACTTTCTCGTCCAGGTAACAGTCTAACTCGGACTTCACATGCCCATTATTTGAACTTAGTTTAACAAGTAAGTCGAACTCCAATAGAAAGTCTGGCTCATAATTGCCCACAAGCATTGAATCGCGATGAGGTGAAGTAGCACCAGAATTGCATGCCCTTTGAACTTTGAATCTATCTTGATCTTCATATTCATGCGGTAAGTCATAACAAAATTTTCGAACTTTTTCAATTTCAGTTTCGGCATCTTGACCATATATAAGAGAATAATAATACTCAACCATCTTCATCTTATACCTTGGATCAAGTACAACTGCTGTCGCCACCATCATGTGACAGCCACTCCAATACTTCTCAAATTTTTCCATCATATCTGATGCCATCTTACTAATCACTTTGCTAGGATCCATAACCCACTTATACAATCTCTGTCTAATTTCACAAACCATCGGAAAAAAGTGATTTGCAATGGTATTGGTAGTTCCAGAGCAAAAATCAATGACACTATGAATCTCCTTCAATTTATCACAAATTTCCTGTGCTAGTCCCCATTCCTCCTCGGATGGAACACAAGTATAAAGTTTTTCACTATGCTTCAGTCTAAGAAATACATCCTTGGAAGGTAAAGCTGTTTGAAGCATCAAATATGTAGAATCCCATCGAGTCTTACTAAAAAGTCCCGAATAATTACAACTTGGAATGCATAGTTGGCGAGTTACTTCTTCAAAATTTTCAATCCAGCAGACCAAAACAGAACACTATCATAAATATTCTCAATCCCTTCTCCTATCACATCTAAACCATCTTTCACAATCAACTTTAGAACAGACGCACAACAACGCATCTGAAGCATTTTTCCATTTAATAGGAGTGAACCATTAGCAGATAGCCTATCCACAAGAATCTCAAATATTCCATCATCAGTGCTACCAATATCAACAGTAATTGTGGATACTTTATGAGCAATTTCCATTCAAGCAAACAATCCATCAAAACATTAGCAAGGACTTCATTCTCATGTGGAACAGGCACATAAACAAACCTAGACAAGTGAAGAAAACCATGTAGTTAGTCACACACACACACACACACACACACACAAAAGAAAGTGTTTAGAATAGCAGTAAATCTTACCTCAACATCCGATTATTCAATATCCAAGCATCATCAACAAAATGAGCAGTGATAGCCATGTATCCTTTGTATTCACCACAAGTCCACATATTAGCTGTGACGGAAATTCAGCATCGAAGTTGGCCAAGCAACTCAAAAGATTTTGCCTTCTCTGAATCATACATCTTTAGGACATCATCTTTTATTGCGCCACTTGAACCCATCTCAAATAAAGGATTAAGGCTTCTAAAAAATTTCTGCAACCCAACATAGTTAACAATTGAAAGGGGATACTCATGTACTATGATCATGCTAGCAAGCTCCTTGTGACACCTTTCTGTGTCAAATGGAAAATTACCGACCATCACTTCCCCATCAGTCTCACCTTCAGACACTTCCACAAATTCCTCGCTTATGTCTACATTTTTTCTTTTAGCACACCTTTCCAAGTGCACTCGCAAATTCTTGGTATTTTGACTACCACCTTTAAGCTTGCTCTGGCAATGATGACAAACAGCAATATCATTGCCTTGTTCTGATACCTTGTCAAAATCATTCCAAATACTTGAACTTACCTTCCTCTTTCCTGCAGGTGAGGTTTTAGTAGGTCTCGAAGAAGGAGTAGGTGTCAAGCTAATAGGAGTTGAAGGTGAAGAAGCTCCACCTCGGCAATTTTCTCTTTGTGAAGACATTTTAAAACTGCAACAGAATTAGAGAACACCCTCTTCAAAACTAGGCAGTAAGAAAAAAACATAAATAATTGTACCAATAATAAGTCAAATGTGATGGAAATCAAAATGCATTGATGGAAACTTTGTAGCATATCAGCCAATTTAGGTAATTACTGATTTGTTTTTCTGTAAAAATAGTACCAGGAATCAACTTTTGGGTTGGCTATATGATATGAGTTCACCAAATTTTATTTTATTTTTTTTTTTTTCCCTATGAGGATTTGAACATTTGACCTTCTATCTTGGAAGGTGAGAAAGTGTCACTAGAGTACAACTCTTGGTATATAAGTTTACTTTTAGAAAGTCAAGCTTTAGATATGCTGACAAATGACTATGATAAACCAACTTGCACTAACATATATGGCGAAATAAAATTTTCAAGGGAATAAAAAATGAACCATAGCTTGGAGGCACATAATCGCTTCTTGAAGATAGTCAAAGCCTCCCACAAGGTACATTAAATAATGACAGCTCTATTACTTTCGATATTCAACCCAGCTTGGACTCGATTCAAACACAATGTAATTGCACGATAAACTATTGAGTGTGTCACTTAATCTCTTTTCGGAATGTGCAAGCATAAGAAGAAGAGGAGAAAACTTCCTAAACTTCAAGGAAAACTTGAGTTTGAGTTGATTGAATTTCATCCGAGAAAGTGTGGTCTTTATGTAGATCTCCTAAGAGAGTCTCCATAAATGTGTTCAATCCTCAAAACGCATGAATTAAGAAAATTCATGTTCCAAGATAATGAACTTGGATAAATTCATTCATATATCACACTAATCAAAATGAATTTAATAGATTCTCATGACTGCTCTTAAATAGGTTCAATAAAACATGCCAATGCCTATGCTTTTACATGTATATTGATTTATATCTTCATATGTAGCATTAAGCAATGTAAGCTCCTAAACCCCCTTCACAAGTTATTGATCTATGATATGATGCAAGGCAAGACCTGTTTTTCCTGGTTCTCTTTAATTTAACCAACCCAAAGTCGTTGGCGTCTCAGGGTTTGCTGAGTTGATTTGGGTTCAACATATGGTACATTATGAATTTTCTCAAGAAACACAATCGGCTTGAGATGAGTTCGAGAATTGCAGTTTTTACTGTCATGTTTATATATACATATGTTTTTGTGTGTGTGTGTGATCTTGAATTCTCTTAATAAATGACAGATGATGAATTTACTTTGTGTAAGGGGTAGGCATTTTAAGGCTACTCCAAGCCTCCATTTACAAAAGCTTATGCCGATGTGTAACTAAACTATTAGGAACAATTACATTGAAGGATCTTTACTAATTCTTGGCTAAGTTTAAAGCGCAAAAGGTGTTGGATTGGGCCGTGCCATCTCATCTAAAAACCAATTGGTGTTCAGAGACACGCCTTTTATGACATTCTATCCAGGCCCACCCGTGCAAGGAGCGGCATTGTGTGTTACCTTTCCAACAATCCCTCCCTCAAGGGATAAGGCTCTTGAGAATCGAACCCATGACCTCTGGCTCTGAGGCCACTTGTTGGATCGGGCCGTGCCATCTCATCGAAAAACCAATTGGTGTTCAATGTGGGTAAGACACGCCTTTTATGGCATTCAATCTAGGCCCATCCGTGCAAGGAGCAACATTGTGTTTTACCTTGCCAACAAAAGGAATTTTATAATAAATGTCATGACCAAACAACAAGACAAATTGTTCAAAGAACAAAAATTATCAAAATGAGAACTAGACTCGTCCTACGGAGAAGAACCACTAAACAATTTTGAGAAACTGCATAAGCAAATATGCTTCCTGCAGAACAGGGTAATCATTATCAATAAGAACATAAAGTGTATTCAAGAAAAGCAGATAACTACAATTTTGTTAGGTAAGGGAGTTCTAACACTTAAATTTTCTAGGGTTCCTAAGAAGGTCCTAGGAATAATGTTAATCTGCCAACCAATCTCTTATATTACAACTTTTACAAGTTATGAAATATAAAACTATGAATAATTCATCCTTTAATTTAATTAATTTATTATTTAATATTCTTAACAATCAAACAAAGAATCAAAGGATTGAAGAAAAAATTCAAATGTAAAATGGGAACTGATTTAAGTTGAAGAAACCTTCTTCAGTGGTGAGCAATTTTTTTGTGAGAGAGAAATGTTGATTTGCAAAAATGTATGAAAAGAAGCTCCATTTTAAGTTTATCTACATGTGAAAAAAGACATTCATATATGATATATCTACATGTATGTGTATGTGTGTGTGTATATGTATATATATACTCCTATAAGAGAGAGGGAAAAGGGTTGTATTTGTACCAGAGAGAGAGGGTTAACTGCCACTGTGAGGGGGCGGAGAGGCGAAGAGGGTAGTGAGGGATGGGCATGAGGGGTATTTATCGTGGTAGGGTTAATGACATATTTAACCGGGGCGGGGTGGGGCGGGGCGGGGTGGGCACACCCGTTAACGAGGGGTATTTTAGTCATAGCGTTAATACTTCATATTTCCGACGTCGGACGCGCCAGCGAACTCACTAAAGTACTTGGGATTCCTAGTGGCCCACAAACTCATGCAAGTAAATTTCTCAACACGCCACGTGGCCTAAGTTTCTTTTCTTCTCTCTTTTTGTTTCTTGCAACTGTTTATGGAAAAATATAAATACTAATTATATATATATTGACCCATTTTTAATTTTTTTTTCTGGGCAAGTTTAAAATTAAATAGTAGATTTTCCCTCTCTCTAAAATTTTGTGTTAGCTCTATCAATTTCTAGGGTTTTGCTCTCGTTTCTGCAAATCTCCGGTGACATGAGGTCCGTATTTTTCTATTTTCCCTCTCTTTATTTTACTAGTAGCTTTTTTATTCTTTAAATTTTGATTTATTATTTTAATTCTTATTTTATAGATGGGTAAAGTATTTTATAGTTTATAGGTGGGTAAAGAATTTCTTATATAAAGAAAGAATTCGATTTTATTTACTCTTATTTTTTATTTATCCTCTCGTTCAAAAAAAACGTTAATACTTCATACACATATACATATTCGAAGGGTTAAATTAGTTGGTTGTAAAATCTAGTCTAGAAGAGTTGAAGGATGGGAATAGACAAGATTCAGTTCAGATACAGTACAAATAAATAGAATTGGATCCTCTTTCATTTCTTTGTGTCTGCTCTTGATTCAACACACTTCCACTATAGTGTCCGTAGTGTCTGAGTAGATATGTAACTTTCTCTCGAACCATAGTAATATTATTTGATCAGATCGTTGAATCATTTATTTCTCTTGAAATCTCTTCAATGTTTATTTCTACACGCGTCTTTTTTTAGGAGGCCTGCAGCCATTATGTGGCATAGGGGTTACATCCCGTACGAAAGTTTCTAGGAAGAAAAAAAAAAAAAAATAGGATAACTTAAGCCATGGCCGATATATTTTCTTCTTAATTTATTTTTTATTTTTAGCTGGAGCTCAAATTAAGTTCAGATTTGAAGGTGGGAACCGGTTTTGAATTGAGGAGGGTTGAAAGTTTAATTTGGTTGATTTTGAATTTACAGGTTTTATACCTTCGAGTTGACTCATCAATTTGCTCTAATTGCACATTTTTGTATAAAAACAAGACTAAATGTCATAATTGCATAAACTATTTTTTTTTTTTTAAAATAATAATAATATTACCATTCGGTGATGAAGAAGATGTAATGTGTTTTACCTTCTTATTCTCAATAATTATCATATTATTTTTACATTAAAAATGTGAAGTTAAAGTAAAAAAAATGTAACAAGTTAAATAAATTTTGTTACATAAGCAGATTTCGTCCTTAAACTTTATTAATCAGTAAGGTAGGAGAAAAGTGTTGTCACACGATACAATTCTCATGAGCAATGTAAATTTTGAATGAACAATACACCTTTAAAGAGTGATTGTAATTTACTCACGCCACGCTTGGCTGCATGGAATTGTGGCTTGAAATAAATAATAATAATAATAATAATTTAAACTTTCCAACAATTTTAATTTCAAAACACAAATTTCATGCAACTGAAGATATTATAAATTTTTTCAAATAAAGAAACTGTTACAAGGTCAATCCTAAAATCAAGAGGAAGACGAGGTCAGTCCCCTGTGTTTCCAGTGTGTGTTTGGAATGAGACAATCTGACGAAAAGAAAAGGAAGGAAAAGTTGGGGGAGAGACTGAAAAGAACAATCTTCATACAAAATACAGTCACAACACTAGTCTTTGAAACAGAACACCAAAATTATACAAGTCCAAACACCATAAGTTTCACCAACAGCTGGAACAGAAAACATCTTATTTTTCAAAGGTTCATTATGAGCACAAGAGTTCCACACCTACAATATAAAAATATATACTATGAGAATAATCGTAAACCATACAAGATGTTACTAAAAACATTGAAGATGCTAACAATTTAAAAAAATAAAAAAAACTTACATATCATAAACTTTCATCACCAGCATCAATTTCGGAAGCACAACTTCGTTCTGCTGTTGAACATGTAAATACACGAAATATAAGAATTGAATTATATTTAATAGTACGAAATTGAATAGAAAAATGACAGAATTTGAATAAGTTACCTGCCATATCTTTCCATAACCAATCCTTTGCACACATCAAAGCCTCTAAAAGCTCCGGCTTAAGTCTGCTACGTTGAGTACTAACCACCTTATCACGAGTGCTGAATGCCGATTTGGATGACACAGTAGATACTGGAATAGCCATAATATCCCGAGCGATCTTATGCAAAATTGGATACCCGATGGCATCTGTTTCCCACCACATTAATACATCAAAATCTGGTTTTCGTGGTATCAACATTTCATCCAGATAACGGTCTAACTCAGACTTCTCACACTCTTTATTTAAACTACGTTGAACTAGTAAGTCAAACTTTATACTGTGTGGACTGTCTGGCTCATCATTGCCCATAACCATTGAATTGGGACCAAGTGAAGTAACATCAGAATTACTTGGAGTTTGAACTTCGAATCTATTCTCATATTCATGCACTAAATCATAGCAAAATTTGCGAACTTTTTCAATTTCAGTTTCAGCATCTTGACCATATATAAGCTGATAAAAGTACTCAACCACCTTCATCTTATACCTTGGATCAAGTACAACTGCTATTGCCAGCATCATATGACACCCACTCCAATAATTCTCAAGTTTTTCAATCATCTCTGATGCCATCTCGCTAATTACTTTGCTAGGATCCATGACCCACTTATACAATATCCGTCTAATTTGACAAACCATTGGAAAATAGTTATTTGCAGTGGTATACGTTGTTCCAAAGAATAACTCAATGGCTCTATGAATCTGCTTCAATTTTTCACAAATTTCCTGAGCTAGTCTCCATTCCTCCTCAGAAGGAACACAAGTGTAAAGCCGTTTGAAGCATCGAATATGTAGAATTCCATCGAGTTTCAGGAAGAAGACCCAAATTATTGCTACATGGAACGCATAGTTGGCGAGCTACATCTTCGAAAATTTCAATCCTTTGTGGTGTAGCAGACCAAAACAGAACACTATCACAAATTTTCTCAATCCCTTCTCCAATCGCATCTAAACCATCTTTTACAATCGAGTTTAAAACAGATTCCCAACAATGCATCTGAAGCATTTTCCCATTTAAAAGAAGTGAACCATTAGCAGATAGCATATCCACAAGAATGTCAAATATTTCATCATCGGTGCTACCACTATCAACAGTAATTGTGGATACTTTATGAGCAATATTCCATTCAAGCAAACAATCCATTATAACATCAGCAAGGACTTCTTTCTCATGTGGAATGGGCACAGAAATAAACCTAGACAAGTGAAAAATAAAAATAAAAATAAAAAGATAAACCCATGTAACTAGTCTCACAAACAAAAGGAAGTGCTTAGAATAACACAGTAAATCTTACCTCAACATCCGATCATTCAATATCCAAGCATCATCAATAAAATGGGCAGTTATAGCCAAATATCCTTTGTGTTTGCCACAAGTCCACATATTAGCTGTGATGGCAATTCGGCATTGAAGTCTGTCGAGCAACTCAAAACATTTTGCCTTCTCTGAATCATAAATCTTTAGGACATCATCTTTCATTGTGCCTCGCGAACCCATATTAAATACAGGATTAATGCTATGAAGAAATTTCTGCAACCCAAAATGGTCAACAATTGAAAGGGGATACTCATGTAATATGATCATGCTAGCAAGATCCTTGCGCGCCAACCTTGGGTCAAATGTAAAATTACCAATCATCACTTTCCCATCGGCCACACCTTGTTTTGATACCTCATCAAAATCATTCCAAATAGTTGAACTTAACTTCCTCTTTCCTGTAGGTGAGGTTTTAGTAGGTCTCGAAGAAGGAGTAGATGTCAAGCTAATAGTCACAGGGTTTGAAGGTGAAGAAGATCCACCTTGGGAATTTTCTCTTTGTGACGACAATTTTAATCTGTAATAGAATTTGGAAACATCCTCTTCAAAACTAGTAAGAAGAAACAAAATCGTGTCATTAACAAGTCAAATCTGATGGAAATCTAGATACATTGACAGATAATTTGAAGCAGCATCAGCTAATTTAGGTATTTACTACTTTGTATTTCTGTAAAAATAGTACCATTGAATCAAGTTTTCAGTTGAATATTGGATATGAGTGCACTGTTATAAAGTCAAGCATTAGAAATGGAGGAAAGTAACCATGACATATGAACTTGAACTTACTTACATATATGGTGAAAATGAAATTTCTCAAAAAAAAAAAAAAAAAAATGTTGAAGCAGCTCACAAGGTGCAAGGGACAATGGCAACTCTATCTCCATGATTCAACCAATCTTGGACTCAATCTATACTATTGGGTGCATCACCTAATCTCTTTATAGAATGCTCGAGTATTTTTATTTTTACTTTTTAAAAAAGGGGGCAAAAATCATAATATGGCCTCAAATTAAACTATCATACAAAAATGGGAACTTTTAAACTAAAAAATGCTTCAAGGAACAAAACATTGTGTCACATTGCAGTTCTGAATAGAAAAGATACTGCAAATATGGGAACTTTTAAACTAAGAATTCTATGTCATCATTGTTTTTCACAATTCTAAGTTTAAAGAGCAAAAGGAGTTTTGAGATAAATGCCAACGAACCAAAATACAAGACAAATTGTTCAAGCAACAAAAATTATCAAAATGAGATCTAGACTCGCTGCGACAGAGCGGAACCACTAAACAATTTTGAGAAACGGCATAAGAAATATGCCTCCTGCAGAACAGGGTGTTCACCATCAAAGATTGAATCAATGAAGGATGAATAAGAACATAAAAAGACTTTTCAAGAAAAGCAGAAAACTGCAATCCAATTACTAGGGTTCCTAAAAAGATCTTAGGAAAATAATGTTGCTCTGCCAAACAATCCCTTAATTACAAGTTATGAAATATAAAACTATGAATAATTCATCCTTTAGTTTGAATATATATATTTTTTTTATATGCTTTAATTTTGCAACTATTCTTAACAATCAAACAAAGAATCAAAGGACTGAAGAAAAAAAAAAATTACATGAAGAACAAATCAAAGTTGTAAAATGGGAACAGATTTAAGTTGAAGAAACCTTCTTCAGTGATGAGCAGTTTTCTCTTGAGAAAGGGAAATGTTGATTTGCCTTCTGAAACAAAGACTGCAAAAATGTATGAAAAGAAGCTCCATTTTAAGCTTATCTACATGTTGAACAATACATTCATATCTGATATGATGATATCTCTACATGTATGTGTATGTATATATATATATAAATATATATACACACACATATAAGAGAGAGAAAAGGGTGTATTTGTACCAGAGAGTGCGAGGGTTAACTGGCACTGTGAGGGCCGGAGAGGCGAAGCGGGTAGTGACTAGTGAGGGATGAGGGGGTATGACGACTATAAATATAGTAGTAGGGTAAATGACATAATTATCCGGGGCGGGGTGGCGGGGATGAAACCCCGAAACCGTTTAAACATCGTTTTTTTTTTTTTTTTTTTTTTTTTTTTCAAAATAGGGATACGTAACAAAAAGATTGTTACCCTTTTGAACAGAATAAAATTGTCATTCACCTATCACAATCAAACTATGCTTGCATTTATGACAATTTTAATCTATGAGACACTCTTGTTCAATTCTCTACAAAATTGGTAATTTTTTTTTTTTTCTTTTCTAAGATGGAATTTTCATTCGAAATTATTCAATTGAATAAAAAATTGAGCTATCAGCATTTTAAGGGAATACAATATTAAGACTATAAATATCAAAACACTTTAATAGTTGTTTAAAATTATTAAGATAAGATAATGACCTCTGTACTTTTTTTTTCTTTTCTTTTTTTTTTTTTTTTATGTAAGTTGAATATGTCACCTTATTAATCTTTTATTATACACTATATTACTTTAAAAAAAAAAAAAAAAAACTAACTTTAAGGTTAATTAACTAACGTGAGATTATAGGAGATAAAAAAAAAAATTAAAAAGATTTGTAAATCCTAAAATAAGGAAATATTGTTACTTTTTTTTTCTAGGCTCTCAATTTTTTTGACACACTTTATAATTCATTATATTAGACACATAAATAGGGCAAGCCCAGGAAGGATTTGAACTCGTTTGAATGGACCAACCTAGTCAACTTGATAGTGCCTTTTGTTCCTTGGGTTAATATTATACCTGATTTGAATTTAAGTCGGGTTTAAGTGACCCGTAAGTTGCCCAAATTCCACCCTTTTGACATATATCCATCAACAAGGATAATTTGGTGATATCGTGATCACAGGCCAGCTGATTCACCAGTCACCACAAACTAAACTTCCAATACAATATGCAGACGGCACGTGGCCTAACTTTGTTTGCTTTACTCTCTGTTTTCTTCCAACTGTTAATGGAAAAATTGGCGGGGAAAATAAAAAAGACAAAAAGAGAGCAAGCCCTAGGTTTCCTCTCTCTAAAATTTTTGTGTTGCTCTGTCAATTTCTAGGGTTTTCCTCTGGGTTCTGCAAATCTCCGGAGGCTCCTACTTTTCTGTTTTCTACTGTTTATGCTGATTCAAGGTGCATGAAACTTTTATTCACTGTTCTGTTTTCTTCTTTGTTTTTTTTGCTATTTTGCCGCGAGTTTGAATTTTATAAAATTTTAATATGTTCGCATTTTCTACTGTTTATTTAAGTGTTTTCTATTCCTTGAGGAGTTCTAATTTTGGCTATAGAACGATTGAAGGTGGCTGATGTGGTTCTAACCGAATGTCTCGATGACATATTCCATTTAACACTTGATTTTTTTATTTTAATTTCGTTTGAATTTCATGCTATTATCTCTTTTTTACTTTGATTATTTGCTTTTCCATTGGAAAATCCATGTTTTGCTCGAGTTTTTAATGGATTTCCTTATTTCAGGTTCAATGAATGGGTGTTTTCAAGTTATTCTTTATTCAAAAATGGTTCAAGAGAATAATTTGTTGAAAACTCTGGAAAAAAACTCGCGCTGAAGATTGTGAATCTGAGTCAAGGCTTTAGTCTCTCCTGATCGATTTGCTGGTATTTTACATCCATGTGCATGCACATTACTTTATTTTAATAAAGGGTTGCAATTTGAATATTGATGGATATCATATTAATTTATGTTCAGTTGCATAGTTGGTCTTTGACTTGTTTTTTTTTTTTTTTTTTTTTATGGAACTCATTGATAGCCTTTTTTCTTTTTCTTTTTGTAAGTTGTTGTTCAATCTTCCAGCACATATCTCTTTGCTGCAAAAAACTGTCTTCTATTTTTGAGAACGAAATCCTAAATTACTACTGTTGCTGTTTTTTTTATTGATAGTCCCCATTTAAAATCTTTGACTTGATTTCTTTTACAAAAGGGAGCTCCATTTGCAACATGTTATTTATATATATATCTCTGAATATTCTGCCAGGTATTTTGGATATTCCTGTTTGTAGTAACGTAGTTTAAGGATGGCAATGTTGTCTTCAACGAAAGTCATGAATCATTCAGGAGAGGTCACTGAGTTATGGGGATTGAGCTTATTATTTTGGGATGCCGGTGAACACTCCAAGGGGGCCAGTGCATACTGTGCAGAAATTGAGGTTTATTCTGGTGGTGCCAAGGTCTATAATATATAATATATATATATATATATATATACAGCAACAATAGGTGTATCTTCTAGAGACTTTCATTTGTGGACTGGAGATGCCCATAATATGTTTTTTGAAGAGGCTTCTGCATATCCTTTGGAGGCTGGTGCGTTTTCTGGCTAATGGCGTTATGAGGTTTAGGTTGAGCTCTAGCTTATACAATCTTTCAGAGACATAAATAGATCGTTGGGTTTTGTTGTCTATGGTTATTTAGTGTTAAAACTCCTATAGTTTGCCATGAAGAAAAAAAAAATTGAAATAACCCCTAATACGTCTAGGAGAGATTGCACAAGTTTGGCCAAAAAAAAAAAAAAAAATGATTGCACAAGTCATCCTAAATAAATTTCCTAATTATTATTTCATCATTGTGAATTAAGAAAGTACAAGATAATTGTTAGGCTGGCCTTTATTTTCTTACATTTAGAAGCCATTGGACCAAGATACAACAGCCATCTTAAAGGCTCCCACTTTAAGGCTATGGTGCAAATTATATATCGCCAATGTGTTTCTCTCTCTCTCTCTCTCGCTATATATATATATATATATATATTAGCTTACCTGAAAAGTTTATTTAAATTGTCAGGTATTGAATGAATAGTTGCATTTCATATATTCTCAGTGCCTTTTTCATTTCTGGATGTTACTGACTTATACTTTGCCACCTGCACCATGAACCACTGTCTCTCTCTCTCTCTCTCTCATAGTGTATATGGTGCTATTGGGTGAGGTTTTGCTAGCAAGAGATTTTAAGAACAATCAATCCACTTAATTTCCACACCACACTTGGCTTAATTTTAAGGTATGTAACTCAAAGCCTTGTTGAATTTCTTAAGAACGATGTTTATTTCGATTCTGTTTGGATTTGTTATTACATGGAAGTGCATTTGCAGCAAGGAAGATGGAAAGGATATATGGATTCCAAGACCCCCTAAAACACCCGAACATTGGTCCCTGTTCCTGTTCCTGTTCCGACCACCTTCTCTTATCTAACTTACTAAAATGCGACAAATTGCTACCCGAGCCTAGTGATATTCCCTCTCACCCTTCAAAAAGGATGTTACGATTCCAAACCTCCAACCATCAAATTGATGATTGCACAATTTGTACATCATTAGACTCTGTCAATGAGTGGATCATGTTGGCTTACCCCCCAAAGCTGCCACACCTATTCATGCCTATTTTTCTTCTCTATTCCCTACTAGTCAAGTACCTGAAAACAAATCTATTGAACTTTTTTTTTTTTTTTTCACAACTTACTATATCAATAAATTTTATTTTGCTATGAAAAGTGATAATGAGGTACACTGAGTAGTCTCATTTTGCAAACTAGTGTGACAAGCATAATGTTTTTTTTCATGCAATCAATTTTTTCCTCTTTGATGTATTTTTGTTCTTCCACTCAAATCTATTTTGGCAATTTAGTTGGATTATTCATATCAAATACAATTGTTTTAGGTGTGGCAAACTGTGTACAAAAAAGTTAGGACAGTTCTCAAGTATGATGTTGGTATGTTCAGTGTAATGAAATTTGAATTTTTTTTTTTGTTTTGTTTTAATTAGACACGGCGGGGACATATTTAAAATACTTTTCAGACAAAAATAGTTATACAATTTTTTTCTTAGAAAAATGTTATTCTAATACAAATATATTATAGATTAATTAGAAAAATAATATAAACTTTTAAAAAACGAAAACAAGTGAACAACACGTACTTAAGTCTAATTTTATTTAATATAAAGTGAATAGAATGAATAAACTTTTTTATTTGAACGATCTGACTAGTGATGATATTATTGGTGTGATGCGTATCCATGTCACGTGACCATATCCGAAACTATGTTGAACGCGGTTCGCGGTTGCGTGAGGGGCTACGATTTTCTAGTACCACTAGGATTTCTTTTCGTTCAATTTCCTATTCAAAGTTTAGAAAACGACGTCGAAAGATAGGATTTTTCTATGACACGTGTCGCTTTTATATGGAGCGAGTACCACTATATATACAGACATACCTCTAACGCGTCTTTCATTGTAGAGAGAGAAACAGAGATAGCTTGGATCTGAATCCAGCCGCTTCTCCGTAAAAAAAAAAAAAAAAAAACCAAACCTAAGTTCTTGTTCTCCTTAGATCAAACTAACATCAAATTCCGAGAATTTTCTCGTATCTTGATTCGATTCGATTAGGGTTTGATTAATTTGCTACGAGGGTTCGATTCAAACCACATTCGTTTCAAGATCGGCAGTGTCTGTTGTTGATTTACGATGTCTCGGTGTTTTCCGTACCCTCCGCCAGGGTACGAGAAGATTGGGAATCCCCACGAGGCACTGATCGAATCAATTAAGGTTTGTTGAGAGCCTAAATGATGTCATTTAAAGTACTTTGTTTGATTCGATGTTCAAATCAAATCAACCCCCCCCCCCCCCCCCCCCCCCCCCCCCCCCCCCCAAAACCTAAAAAATTGAAAACTGAGGGCTTGAGCATGACACGAGGGAATGATTATTGTTGAATTTGTATTGTTTCTAGGCTGTAAGAGATTTTGGGACTTTTAATCCGTCACCCAATAACATTATGGTTGTATTGTTTTGTAAATTTTGGGAGAAAAATGGAAGTAGAAGAAATCTGATGTTATTGTGCTTCATTGTATTAAAGTGATTTGAGGGTGATCATGCTTTAATGATGTTGTTCTTCTTGCTTCATATTGTAAGGATGGTAGTGGTGGATGCGTTCTTATTCTTCAGGTCCAGTTTGTGTGGTGTTATTAGATGGTCCTGGACCATTAGCTACTTGGTGGTTCAGTCCAATCAAAACCCATGTTCAGCTTTCTTTGTAATATCTTGTTAAATTCTATGAGTCCAATTTCTCCATGTATAGGGCTTATTGTAAGTTCAGCTGGTTCTAGTGTTACAGTTGTGTTCTTTCACTTGCACCTCCTTTTGAGGTTTAAATGGATTACTTTCTTAAGAACAAGGGATCATAGGGTTATAAATGGGAGATTTAAAGGCTGGGTGTTGTGTTATAGCAATCATGAAAAGGATGGTGCTAGGGAAAGGATGGAACTGTGTGTTTTGGATTGAAACAGGAATAAAACTTAGTTTTTAAAGCTACCTGGAGGACTGATGCTGATACTTTTGAAAGGTTGTCATGGTGCTACTTGAAGTCCCCTAGTTTAATGCTAGCATTTAAGGAAATTGTGCTACTCGTGTTGCTTGAGACTTACTTATTACTAGTCTGATGGCTGTTCTAATTTGATTAAAGCTTGAGAGCTGACTCGGTGCTTTTGAGAGGATCATGCCTCTTGCATCATATGCTAGCATACTAATTACAGAAGATATTATTTCCCCCTTTTATAGGTTAAGATGGTTTGGACATGTGCCAATAAGACCTTCCTTTTTTAAGTGTGCCAGTTAGGCAAAGTGGCCTAGTCCACATTGAGGGTAATACTAGGGCAAGTGGTATGGCAAAGTTAATGTGAGTAGAGTTAGTTAGGAGGATAGTGGTGGATGTATTCTATTCTTCAGTTTAGTGTAGGTGCAGTTTGTGTTGTGTTATTAGATGGTCGTGGACCATAAGCTACTTGTTAAGCCTTCTTTGTAATATCTTATTAAATTCTATGGATCCAATTTTCTCAGTTGGAGAGGTTTCATTAGACTGAATCATATGGTGGAGGACCATCAAATAATTTATGGTGTATAGGGCTTTGCGTCAGTTCCACTGATTTTAGTGTATCTATTTCATTAGCTATGAATTACAGTGTGTCATAATTGGCATAATTGGCCTCTCTCTGACAAGTTATTTTGAGGTTTTAATGGATGACTTCTTTAAGAACAATGGATTCATCACATGTAGATTATATATGGGAGATTGAAACCCTTTTTGCAATCTAAGAATGCAATAAAAATTGCATGTTCGGCCAAAAAATTTCTGTTGGATTATGGTCTTCGACATGTTGCATGATTATCTGATTTGGGGCTTGGTGGTTGTGTCATGGCAATCATTCTTGAAGGAATTTAACGGGTAATAATAAGTAAAGATGACGATGCTAAGGAAAGGATTGAACTGTGTGTTTTGGATTGAAACAGGAATAAGACATGTTAGATTATGGTCTTGAACTTTGTGTTGATCATTTTTCACATTCTGAATCTAGTAGTGTATATTTAGCCTCTTCATTCCAAATTAGTAGTCACTCGTTAGATTGGTAATGGCCAATGGATGCATAGCTCAATTCTGAAGCTATTTTGCTGTGCTTGAGCTGATAGATTTTATTAAGTTCAAGGAATGTGAAGGACTATAAGTAGGAAATAATCTTGCATGGTAAGGTTATTATTGGTGTGAATGCAGTAGATTGTCCTTGGCTAAGGAAATATTCTTTCAGTAAAAGATTTACTCGTTGAATTATTCAGGATCTTTGATTGTTTTAAGCTGGCATAGGTTGGTCTTTTGGGCTCAAATGTAGTAGGATGAACGCTAGTGATATTAGATAGCAGATACATTCTTCAATAAGTATAAGTATCATATTCAATGTGGTAGAAAAATGCAGGGTTGATAAGGTGTTGGTAAAATTACAACAATTTTAATGGGGTAAAAAGTGTTTGAATGCTTGAAAATTATACGAGATTTCGGCCTTTGGTTGTTTTCATTCAGATGTGTTTGTTCAAAACAGGAAAAGAAGTGGGCTCCTGTTATCTTACAAGTTGCATCGCTTTTAAATCAAATTTTGTTTGGTCAAAATGGGATCAGAAGTGTACTTGTGTTATTTTATGAGGTTGCATATCATATAATCCTGATACCATATTGATATATGTGTAACACGGTAACAGTTGGTAATTAATACTTACGTTTTTTTTTTTTTTTTTCAGTTACCATCTTTCTTAAACTGCATTGGGTTTGTGAAATGAGTATAGATCTTTTTTATGCTGATTGTCAATAGATATCTATAAGTATATAGAGAGGAGAGCTTTCTGTGTTGCTGTTGTTGAGTTGTACTTTTGGTCATCACTTGGGTGCCACTTTTGGTTCTACAATATTTGTTGTCGAACTAGCAAAAAGCAGTGTCTTCTTGCAGATCATGGATTTCACACATTCACCACATAGATGCAAATCATGCTTGTGTTAGTTGTCACCCTGATCACTAAGATAAGCATCATGGCTGCTCAAGCTTCTCTAGAGTCTAGACTCATGTACTAGCAGTGTATATAAAGTTGTAGGAATTCGTCCAGAATATTAGAGATTTACAGTCTGCTATTCTGACTGCTTTCTGGAACGGATGACTAGTTGAGGTGAGACGATGAGTTCCACCCATTAAAGTGACCATTTGATATTAGACATTTATAGTCAGATGAGAGTAAGAATATATTAATGTGTGTTCTCATTCTGAAAGTGTGTTCCTGGCATGTTATTTTGGTCTGGTACAAGCTAATTGTTGAGCTGCCTGGTTACTTCATAGTCCACTTCTTTTGTAAATTGAACATACTGTGTAGAGCTGTGTTCTGTCATTTTTTCCTAGTTCGCTCTTGCCTGCTTGTTCTGCTTGTTTTGCTTGTCCCTCCCTTGGCTTGTTGTATTGATGGTTGTTCTGGTGATTTGAAGCTCCAGATAGGAGAGAAGTCCAAAAAAGAAAGAAAAGATAAAAAGCGGGAGAGAAAAGAGGAGAAGAAAAAGCAAAAAATTGGAGAAACTGAAAAGAACAAGCATGGTCATAAAAAGAGGCACAAAAAGGAGGGGAGCCATGATGGTAAAAAAGGACGAGAGCATCAAAAGATGATGAGAAATGAAAAGGAGCAGTTTGAGAAGAGCACCCTTACTGAAGAACATGGACATCCATTTGGTTCTCAGAATCTTAGTGACTCTTCTGATAGCACCCTGAACAGCAATAGACGGCAGGAGCACGGCTTGCCCTCTGATGGCAGGCACAACCCTGGTGAGTGTGTTTGTGTTTCCTGTTCTTCCTTGAGTGTAGGACACTGCTTGTCTGTCGATTTTGTTAGCTTCACATGGGTACTGACGTTTTTTCTTCAATTTTACAATATCAACGTAAAGGAAGTGTTATCAGGATTCGTTTTCAAAAGAACAAAGATCAAGAAGTGCTACCAAACAAAGAACTTCCCTGCTCAGCAGCTTTGGGAAGTTCTGATGGTTTTGTTCAAGAGATGAATGAACCTGCTCCTGGACCTAGTGCAAAAGGGAGGGATCATCTCTTTTCTACAATTAGCACCCAAGATGCCTCTTTCAAATTAAGCAAAGGGGAACCAAGATGCTTCTCTGAAGTTCTCTCTCAGAGGGCTGAAACTGCTCCTACATCCTGCCCGTGTGTCCATAGAGGTTCTTCTTCTCTGTTGAAGTTGAGAGATTTGATCGAGAACTGGGTTCCTCCGCTTTTACAAAGTGAGCGCCCAAACCTTGATGATCATGAGTGGTTGTATTCAACAAAGCAGGATCACAATTTTGGGGCTAGAAGATTTAAAGCCAGTGGTGATGGCTTGAGTTACCAGTGTTCAACTCCTTGGCCTCGTGTCTGCTACCTGCCGGAGGCTGATATACATGCATTACCTTTTGTGCTTCCGTACTAAAAGTTTCCTGAAAAAGAAGAAGTAAGGGGAGCTATCGGAGCCACGGTAGTGTTATAATTAAATTTTTTATGGTGCTAGAAGTGTGAAGAGGTTTTGCCTGCATTTCTGCTGTTCCCTCTCTTTCATGCGTTTTGACTTTTGAGGCAACTTTGCCTTAATTTGTTTGGGGCAATTTTTCATGGGAAAGTGACCGTTGTAATGTTTGTATGGTTTGGAGAGAAATTCACATTTATCAAATATATAATAGTCGTGTACCAAGGTCCAGTTCTTTTTATCAATTATAAATAATAATTCAATTTTCATGACCGCGTCGCCCAATTGTTCATTGTAGATGTGTTTCATGTAGGAATTTATTACTTGATTATACTCTTACTTGTAAATGGACAAGAATTTCAAAGAGCAAAGCTTTTATTTCTTCTCCTGGAAGACAATTTGTGATGGATATATTTAGGCAATTAAGTACGAGATCCACTAATGCTCATCAAACAGATATATCAGTTGTTGATCACATTTTTGCGGAGTCTAGATCCTCTAATGTACAAGAGTGAACGGTCATGATAGCTCGCTAGAGAATGGACAGTACGATCACTCACACCGGTGGCACCGTCCAGCAATCAATGGAATATATTTTGTGAATGGAATCCTTTAGGTGGCATATTAATTTGGTTAAGTTGCTGACTTCATGTATGAGGATTAAAACAGCAAAGGAAATTTACGGCAAGCTAAAAGATTGCAAATACACTCGCACCAACGGGCCATGTTATCTGCTCTGTGCCTAGTGTACTTTTCATGATTGAAACAAGATTCTCTGCAATCAAGAACGCGACAACAATGTGAAAATGTTACATTAGTGTTGTATCCTCGATATAAATATTGCACGATATCCTCGGAGTAACGCACAGGAATGAAAACCAATGCAATCCGCGCCAACCTCCCCGATTCTCATTTTCATCCTCAAAACAAAATCAAAATTACTTTTGCTAACGGAATCGGGACTTTTGATTTGAGATTGGAGAAAATTTTTAAAAAAATTTGAACTAAACTACTCCAATCCCAAATCCAAAGCAAATGCTACCAAACATAATATTTCATTTTTTGAAATCCCCCAACACATCAATCCGCAGGGGAAGTCTGGACAAACAACCGTTTCCCAAATTTTGCGAGAATTATAAGGGCATTTCTCCTTGCACAGACCTAAGAAAACATTGCACAGTTGAACCAAGGTATTAACGAGCATCTGGATAATTCATTTAAAATACAATTCTTCGTCCGATTACACAGTTAAAATAGCATCCCAAACATAATCAAGTCTTTCAATCAGGATACAAAGTAATGAATATAATTGCATCGTTATAACACAAACTTTGTTTCCTAATTGGGATTTTCTGGTCTATTAGTACATAAAGCAAATCAAAACCGTGCAGTGAGACTGAGATGGGCTACAAAATAAAGTGGCTCAACAAATAGAAATGGCAACAATACACAATAACAAGCCACCTCACATTCTACAGAGATCCCAAGTACTGTCACTGGAGACTAAATACCAGGACTCCTGCTTCCTCTACGACAAAGGGAGGAGAAAACGATTCGACGATTAGAATGGATGGAGCAGGCCTAATCTTGATCACAATATAGAGCAGGCCTTCTGTGCCTTGCTCTTCTTTTTCTTCTGCTTTGGTGGCTGGAGTACAACTTTGATGGCAGCATCAAAAACACCCTTCACATTCTGTAGTGACAAGGACATTTCCCAACCCTTCAGTAAAGAAGCTAAATATATAGAGCTTGCATACATAAACACGAGAAGTATTAGACACGTATGCATATACCTGCTGTGTTTTAGAACTGCATTCAATGTAAGAAGGTGCACCAATCAGCTTCCTTAACTCCTCTCCCTTAAAGAAAAGAAAAAGAAAATCAATTAAAACAAAATGTTAACCAATAAACTCAAATGACAACATAAAGAGGTTATTCTTTACCTGAGCTGTTGTAATTGGCACAGCACCAGGATGGTCTATAAAGAACTGCTTATCATCCCGCAAATCTGAGCCATTATCATCACAATAATAGAACTATAAGATCTTTATGTAGAAAGTCATTGATAATATCTATTTCATGTCAAAGCATAATTTAACAAAAATAGACCAACATTAAGAAGACAATTGTGACAATGGAATGTAATCGTAACTTTAAAATTCATAACAACCAGTTCAGACCGTGGCTCTTAAATTTTCAGCAGAAAAATATTATATAAACGCAGAACGGGAGAAACAATAGCATGTACAGAACTAACTGCAGTGACAGATAGCAGGAACATGAAAAAGTAATACAGCTACTACTTGTCACAAAAATAACAATAATGATAATATTAATAAAAATGAAAGCAATAAAGCTACCATTTTCTAACTTGAAAAAAACCTTAATACAAGCACAATATTTGCCCCAAAAAATTCTATGGTCGTCTTTCCTTTATTTGGGGCAAATCAAAATATTTGCCCCAAAAAATTCTATGGTCGTCTTTCCTTTATTTGATCTACATAATAGTGTCTAATTCTACCCAAGAGCAAAATTTAGACGTGATAACAACCTAACAGCAGCATTCATAAAATTTAAGTGTGACATTCATGATGTGTACACATGCATTCATTTAAGTGAGTGCACATGGGCTTCTTTTCAATGGTCAACTCAGACAAATTGACCGCATATAGAATATAAAATCATATTTTATAGCAAGAATAATAATAGCTTTGTAGTGTGTCCAATCAAATGCACTGTGCAGACATCACTAATAGAATCTCAAAAGCAATAGCAAAACCTTGAATACATTAGCACAAGGTTGTAGGTTTAAGGATAGCAACCTTGTGTAAAATAGGATCAAAAGTTGGGCATGTCTTCAACCTTCCCCTCCCAAAACCCCATGTAGGCAGTCCATATACTTTGGTTTAATAGGGGCCTCAAAATCACTAGCCAAAATGTGCAAGATGATATTGTGCACACATCATTAATAGGATCTCAAAAACAATAGAGAATAATTGTAGGCATCCAAATAAGTGTGAGATAGCATCGTGCTAACAAGTGGTCATTGCTAGATGCACGGCAAAAGCTCGAATGTTTAAGCATGAGGTTGCAGGTTTGAGCTTTAGGGCAGCCAAATTATGTAAAACAATGCCACGAGTTATATCTACTTTCACTCTACCCCTCCAGGACCCCGCATAAGCAAGACATATACTGAGGTCGTTGATGTCTCTCCAGTCAAGATTTTGCCTCCAATCACTAATCAATATGCTTTTCTCTCGTCAATTTATTCATTCATCATTCAATATTTTGTGTCCTATGCATAGAGAGATCAAATGAATATTTCTCGAAATTGGAGGTTATACGCTATTGTGGTGAAGATACTATAAAGGAGGTCCACAATGACTTTTATATTGTCCTGTTAACAGGCGTCCGACAAGATAATCAACACACATTTCCAGGTAATTCCAAGAAAGTGCGGAATGAAATGATAAGTGGAAACGTTATGAACTTCATGTTATATAATAAATGCCTCAAACATATAATTATGTCTATCACCTTAAGAAATTGTAAATATTTAGATTAAACTTCCCAATTTAATTCTCAAAACTTCAAAAGTGGCATCTTGCATGAAAGCATTTTTAAGTGAAAAAACTTCTACGGCGATGAATCTGGAATCAAATGACAACAGATTCAAATTTGTGTAAGCAAATTCTTCGCTGTTTGAAGAGGTTTATAAATCAAGAAGGTATCATCATAGAAAAATAGCAGCACAAAGATTCAAGTGATCCATCCAAGAAAATCATTAGATCAATTCCAAAATAAACAATTCTGTTCAAAGGCTGTTACTGAATCATATATGTAGCTCAAGAGGGTGTAACAGACACACAAGGAAAAGTCAAAGACCAAAGATCAAAGTGGCCATACTTGAGGATCACATATTTCTTCTCGGTGGTAAATATGAATTTGTGTAGCCTAACTAGAGCCAGAAAAGTTTGTTACTTTAAAGTTGTCCTTAATAGGTAGGTGTTGAATAGGGTCACAAATCAAATATGCAGCAACTAGTTTTTGGTGATTTGATCCAATAACCCTTCCGAGCTTTATGAGGTAGGAGGTCTAATTTGTATTAAGTTCTAATACATACATACACAAATATATATATATATATATATGATAATTCTATTTATTAATTTTTTTATATAAATATATATATATATATATATATATATAGAGAGAGAGAGAGAAGAGAGAGACTGATGAGTTGATTAGTCTTACTTACAATTTAAGTCTTGAGGTTTATCAATAGATGATACAATCATACAAACAAATTAAAGCAGTTCTGTTAGAGCTTTATATTTAAATCATGCAATAAAATTTAGTTACGCTCTCGTGTTCTTAAAAAGTAAGTTACTCAGGTTAGCACTTAGCACCTTGTTAAAGAATTCTCTTAACTGTCAGACTTCCTGTCCAATAAAGAAGGCATTGACAGTGACTAAAGTAACTTTAAGGCATCTTCCAGTAGCATAGTTGGACAATATCGAAACATCTCAAGATCTAGAACATTGAAGGGGGAAGAGGAATTATAGTTATATTAGTGTGACATGCAAACTATCATTATTCAGTAGATTATATACAAAATGGATGCATATCAGTATGTTGAAAAGAAAACTATTAGCCTCTCACTTCAACCTTAATAATCAATATGACAACATTCTGAATGCGTGTGCAATAGAGAGGGAGAGGGAGAGGGGGGTGGGGGGGGGGGGGGGGGGGGGGGGGGGGGGGGGGGGGTGGGGTGGGGTGGGGTGGGGTGGGGTGGTGTTTAGAAAATTTGATTAAAACAGATGCATCAGTACATTTTAGTGAGAGTTTTAGACAAGGGAAAAATCACGGTTCCAGTACTTGCATTTGTTATGTCATGCACTTTACACCCCGTGTGCGTATTTTTGTTATGTAAAACCTAATGAGAGCAAAATTTATTTCAAATGAATTGGATATGCATTTCAGGTGTGGGTATGCATTAAAGTGTCAATGCGAACATAGCTAAATATTCATGATTCCAATATTCTTTTAGTTTGTAAAATAGTACTTTATGTAACATAGAGTTAAACCTAAGCACTTTGTTTTGAAATTAAAAAAACGTAATGAAAGAAATACAGTAAAAAAGTATTATATAATAAAACATGTTTGCAAAGTGCATATCCAACCAAACATGTCATAATAGTATCTCACATGCATAACCAAGTGTTATGTGCCCAACACAATACATGCATTAAAAAGAGTTCATATAACATATAGCAACATTGTGTTTATGGCATCAACAGTTCTGTATCGGTTCCACTACTTGCATTTGTTATGTCATGCACTTTACACCCTGTGTGCGTATTTTTGTTATGTAAAACCTAATGAGAGCAAAATTTATTTCAAATGAATTGGATATGCATTTTAGGTGTGGGTATGCATTTAAGTGTCAATGCGAACGTAGCTAAATATTCATGATTCCAATATTCTTTTAGTTTGTAAAATAGTACTTTTATGTAACATAGAGTTAAACCTAAGCACTTTGTTTTGAAATTAAAAAAACGTAATGAAAGAAATACAGTAAAAAAGTATTATATAATAAAACATGTTTGCAAAGTGCATATCCAACCAAACATGTCATAATAGTATCTCACATGCATAACCAAGTGTTATGTGCCCAACACAATACATGCATTAAAAAGAGTTCATATAACATATAGCAACATTGTGTTTATGGCATCAACAGTTCTGTATCGGTTCCACTACTTGCATTTGTTATGTCATGCACTTTACACCCTGTGTGCGTATTTTTGTTAGGTAAAACCTAATGAGAGCAAAATTTATTTCAAATGAATTGGATATGCATTTCAGGTGTGGGTATGCATTTAAGTGTCAATGCGAACGTAGCTAAATATTCATGATTGCAATATTCTTTTAGTTTGGTAAAAGTAATTTTATGTAATAGAGTTAAACCTAAGTACTTTGTTTTGAAAAAAAAAAACGTAATGAAAGAAATACACTAAAAAAGTATTATATAATAAAACATGTTGGCAAAGTGCATATCCAACCAAACATGTCATAATAGTATCTCACATGCATAACCAAGTGTTATGTGCCCAACGCAATACATGCATTAAAAAGAGTTCATATAACATATAGCAACATTGTGTTTATGGCATCAACAGTTCTGTATCCCCCATACATATTCAAAGAAAACTTCTTCAATAATAGACAACTGCCCAGCAAAAAGCACAAAAACAAAAACCTTTAAAAAAAAAAAAAAACAGCTATGAAGGAAATACAATCATGCCATAAATTCTCATATAAGGATCAATACGAAATAAGAAGAAATCTAACCAAGTTTTGTTCCAACAAGAACTATGGGGACGCCTGGGGCATAATGCTTCAACTCAGGAATCCACTGTAAAATGTAAATGAACACAAAATAAAGCAATTCATTAAAACATAACAAACATAATAAAATAAACCTTAGATAATAATGAAATCTCTTTGTGTGTATGTGTGTGTTTAAGAGAGAAAGAGAGAAGTGTCTCATGTAAGACCATCAAGTCCTCACCTTCTTAGAAACATTTTCATAACTGGCCTTGCTAATGAGTGAGAAAGCAAGAATGAAAACATCTGCCCCACGGTAACTCAAAGGTCTTAATCTGTTGTAATCCTCCTGTCCTGTTCCACATAATTACAATTTCAGGCACATATGTACTAATCGTATACTGACCAATGCACATATTATATTATATTGTTCAAGTAAACAAATAAAAGGATTAATGAATTTGCAAAGTTACCAGCAGTATCCCACAATCCCAGGTTAACAGTACTCCCATTGACGACCACATTTGCACTAAAATTGTCAAATACAGTTGGCACATAATCCTGTTCCCCATTAAAAACAAAAACAAAAAAAAAAAAACAAAGTTATAAAGAGTACTAAAATTTTATAACACCGTTGACATGAAAAATCAAATCAATTCCTCGATAATTCACAAATCATCATCCACAGATTAAATGCATCCCGACTGCAAAAATTTCTAAACTAAAACCAAACGTGATACGAATTGAATCCACAACAAAACCTCTAAACAGATTGCCCCACAAGTCTCTATTGCCTTTTCAGGAAATGTGACACGCAACATTAAATCAATTCCTAGACAATTCACAAAGCATCTTCAACATAAACTAAAACCAACATGATATGCAATGAACCACCCGACAAAACCTTTAAAGAAATCTCATCATAAAATTGTTCAATATCAATAGATCCTCAAAAAGAATTGTTCATTTTTCTTCCCACAATCATAAAACAAATATACACAGAAAAATGAAATTGTTGAATATAAAAAAATAAAATTAAAATAAATAAAAAAAACCCAATAAAGCAAGCAGTTTCTTTCACATCATTAACAAGATTTCACGAAACTCAAGAACCAAAGCCTTCACATTTATACATCAATGAGAAGACAATGAGAAGAGTGACTAACCGTGGGGAACGTGTTGCTAGTGTAGGATATCAAGAGACACGTTTTACCGACAGCGCCGTCACCGACGGTGACGCACTTTATGAACCTCGAAGCGCTCATTTTACCCCCAAAATCCTCAGATCTTCTTCAGAAGACCTGACCAGAGACTCTCCAATGCCGTTCTTCGTTCACTTCCTCTTCTCTCCCACACCTTCAATTACGCATCTATAAAGCCAGAAACCACAAGACAATAACGCGTTTAAACGAAACCCTAACCCTAATTGAGAAACAATGGCTACAGATAAGGAAAACGAGGAAGAATTTCGGATAACGAAGGACGAAATGGGAAACCAAACCCTAGGAAAGGATATGTCAATTGGAGATGGAGATCTGGAGAGAGAGAGAGAGAGTCAGAGAGAGAAAAGGGGGCCTATACGTGTGTATATATGTATATGTAAATATACCTTATTTAGCCGGGAAACAATGCCGTTGAAGCGTTCGCAGGGCGGACCAACCCCTCTCTCTCTCTTTTTCTCTCTCTAAAAACCCAAAAAAAAAAAAAATAGTGATTATTGGGTTTGATTGGCTAATTTTGACGAATTTGTCGGAGATTACGTTGTGTTTGCTTATTACGATTTTACGACCCAAATAAAGGCACAGAGCCCAGGTGATTTACTGGTTGAGTACACGTGCAATGCTCGTGGATGGCCTATTGAATTTTTAGTACAAGTGCATGCATTTTATCTTTTGTATGTGTGCATGTTACAATGGCAAAAATCCCCATTTTGACGACCCGTTCTATTTGGGGCAATTTTAAAGGATCGATTATGCAAATAGAGACGAAAAATAGAGCCTACTTTAAAAACCCTACCGAATTTTGGACTGATGATGGTCCCGCCCCGAATATATTATAATTTATTAAATTATTTTTACATACTATTATATATTACTAAAATAGGTTAAATTTGTATAAAGAGATGGCAAAAATTCCTACCCAGCAGGCCTTGCTTCTTTTGGGGCGGCTTTGGAGATGGGGATCTCACCAAATCGCCCCATTGCCTTCCTATATATATCATTGGAGCATCTTGCGTAATTAAGGAATGTTGAAAAAATATATATATATATGGCTGGGTAATAATTACTATTTCTGTCTCATATTAGTAGTCAACTATAGATGTTCTAAATTAGTAGTTCATTTTGAAAAGTCAAAGTAAATAAGCCTTATCTTTTCATCATTATCCTTTATATTTAAAAAAAAATTCAAACTTGCTAATTATACCTATCTAAATTATAAAGGACAAGGTAGTAATTTTAAAAGGAAACAATGCATTAATTACATATCCCCTTAAAAACTCCAATCTCTAAATATGGACATCTAATATGAGACGAAGAAATTATTAAATAGAGACTTTATCATTGTATGGAGACTTGGATGCACAATTTAATACGTTAATAATTCTATGGTGACTGATTTCTATATTGCTAAAATAGGTTAAGTTTGTATAAAGGGATAGCTAATGCCAAATCGCCAAATCGCCCCATTGCCATCCTATATACATCATTTGAGCATCTTACATAACTAATGTTGAAAAAAAATAAAAAATTTAATGACTTGGTAATAATTACCATCTCTGTCCCATATTAGTGGTCAACTATCTCATTTTTAGATGTTCTAAATTAATTATTCACTTTGAAAAGTCAAAGCAAATAAGCCTTAACTTTTCATCATTATCCTTTATATTTTTTAAAAATTTCAAACTTGGTAATTATACAAAAGAACAATACATTAATTGTATATCTCCTTAAAAACTCTAATTTCTAAATATGAACATTTAATATGAGACCAAGAATTGAGACTTGCATGCACAATTTAATACTTTGATAATTCTATGGTGACTGATTTCTATACAACAATTAATTTTTAAATTGTTAACAAATTATAATTTTTTTTCTTGAATACAAAAAAATGGGATTACATTGTCAAATTATTAATCAATGGTGGTTAATTAGTTGAAATCATTATAAGTTAGGTACTTTAGTTCCCTTCACGCGGAGTTCAATTTAATTCTTTTAATCGTTAATATATATATATATATATATATATATATATATATATATATATTCTTTTTTCTTTTTTTCTTTTTAATCATTATTATTTAGTTCACAACTCTTTAAGAAATGCATTAACTATAGCGTTGCATTGAATAATGAAGGAGAAAACTTTCGTTAATGACCGAAAAGAAAACGTGAAAGAGAGACAATTTAAATTTAATTTGCATATGATTCTTGAGAGTTGAGAGTTACACCATTTGATTTGATATACTTAGTTTTCACAATTTAAAGTATAGAATGAAAGGTGTAATTTCTTGTTGACAAAATTCATGCGATGTGAAAAGGATATATATATATATATATATATATATATATATATATATATATATTTGACGGACAATAAATTTTCCTCTCATAAAAGTAAATTTTTAATAGAAAAATATTTTTATTATGTTGAAAAAATTATGCTACTTGATGGTGTATCATGTGAGGTACTTGATGGTGTATCATATGAGTCCGAGTCGAATCACCCAATGTACCATTTTTGTGGTTAGAAAACATCTCAATCACTTTGTTTAATTTTAAAGATTAAGGCACCCTTTGTTTTATCGTAAAATAATTTTAAATTTTTATTTATTTATTAGTGTTTGAAAGACTCCAAATTTAAAAACTTATTTTTTTATGTAAATCATTTTAACCTTAAATGACTGAAAATGATTTACTAAAAAATTTTCGTAAGTCATTTTTCATAAGACTATTTTGGGTCATCTAACCACCCACATTCTTATTGAACCTATGTGTCTCTCTAGCAACTAATATTTTTCAGTTCTCTCAATCTAAAAATATAATTTCCAGTCTTTCTCTCTATATTATATATAAAGTGAGATAAGAGCGAAAGAGGGACACAAATTTGGGTTGGTTGAGGAACAGATTTGGGTCGATAGCACGTTCTGGTATATAGAGAGCGAGTGGAGAGAGAAAGTAAAGAGAATGAGAGGGAGGCATGGTTTAGCGTAGGGAGAAAGAGAAAGTAACAAGGAGAGAAAGATGGGGATGGTTTAAGGGGTTTTATTCCCTATTTGTGAGGAAAACTGAAGAAAGAAAAAGTTAATTGCTCACAAAACTGATCTAGAAAGTATTTTACGGACCATTGCAAAACTCCAAAAAATAAAAAGAACATTCTACATAAAAATATTTTACAAGAAAAATATTTTACATCTAAACAAACGGAGCCTAATTAAAAACATTTGAACCTGGAGCTTTCACTTTGAAAGATGGAGATTATACTAGATGTAACGAGTGGGTACTTGTCAATTCACTCAAAAACTTGTGGTTAGTGCTGCATACCTGTCCATTTATACCCGATCACTCTCCCATCTGGATCCAATGTGGGACAAATCTCCCATTATAAAATTCACGCCCACATGAACCGCAACGTCTTTGCTGAGGTCGAGTCACCCTGCCTAGGGTGGCTCACCCGGATCCCTTCCGGGGCGGGTGCTTAGCTTGACACCGGATCAAGTAATGGGTCTGGCTTTAATACCAACTGAAACAGGTGGGCGTTTACTCATTTACCAAAAAACTTAAGTTGTTAGGTAGTGCTACATATCCATCCATTTATATCTAATCACTCTCCCATCCGGATCCGATATTGGACAAATCTCCCCTTATAATACTAGGTCAGTAACATTTGTGGTGCGACATTAGTTAGTATTACAACCAAACACAATATTATAACATAACAATATGGCAAGTAATGTTGTGCATTCATGGCCTTCATGGCTCAACATTTATTCAACAACGTCTTATTAGTCCAAATAGTTTTGATGATAGGAATAGGAGATAGATACAAATGATTTAGCCAATTTCGTTTCAAGATTATGTGTGCAAATATTTGTAATTTTACTTTTGTCACCCATGAAATAGAATGTTAATGAATAGTGGTGCTTATGTTGTTGGATTGATACACGTATTTTAAAAAAATTAAATGAAATGTTAATGTAAAATGTAGTCAAAGTGAAACACTAATCGAAACATTATACAAGTTTTAAATATATTTAGCAATCTCAAATTCATGCATGTTCTTGTAATTTCTTTTTTGCAATATTATACGACTTTTTTTTTTTTTTTTCCAATGCAATATTATACGACTTCAATAAGATTTAGTTGATAATGATTTTTTTTCTTTTTCTTTTTTTTTTTTCTTTTTTCTTACTGTATGATATATTAAAGTTGTGTTTGATTACATGAAATTGAAGTTTTGAAATTGGAGAAAAATAACTTTGAAAATTGAACCAAAATTTTCTCCAATTTCAATTCTAAGGCTTCAATTCCATACCGCAAACACGCCCTAAAAAAATTTATTTGCTAT